TTGTTATTTTTTGTTGAACAATTAATATACAAATATAACTTAAACTATATATAAGTAAAAGCTCTATTTATTGAGACAATTATTCTAATCAATAAAATTGAAGAGTATTTCATTTTAATTGTTTGTTAATCATCTCATTATTTAATTTTTACATAATTATAACCAGAATTTGGTGAAGAATTTCAAATTTCTTATTAATAATCCTATTAAATTTTTGAGTTATAAACCAAAACTGAATAACATCAAACTTTGAGCATTTATTTAATTAAATTAAAACGATTTGTTTTTTTTTATTGATTCAATCTAAGACACCTATAAATATATTTAGAGTATAATTCTTTAGAAAACTTTTATATTAAGTGTTTTTTAACTCTTAAATTCTCAAATTGTTATGGAATTAACAATTGTTAGAGAACTAAAAATCAATTTATTTTATAAAATAACAAGTATTTGATAATAAAAGTATATGAAGCCTTAGTTTTAACATTTTTCATGAATTAAAAATATTTTATTATTAAAATTTTAGATATGTAATGAACTTTTTTAAAAATTATATTTTTAATAATGATTTTTTTATATCTTTATGTAAAAAAAAATCATTTTAAGTTTTCAAATCTAACTTAAAAAAATAAAACACTATTATCAATGAGAATAATTATTTTTTTTGTTTTCTTATGAATACTGATCCTTCTTAAATTAAAATAAATTTATGTTCCACAGCTCAATTTAATAATTATACATGATTAGAATATCTTTTGAACTTACTAACTTCTACATCAAAACAGAAGAAAACTATTTATCATTATCAATTTTTTAAAATTGCCTTTAAATAATACTAAAATGCAATTTATAGTTTACCTGAAGTATTTAGGTTTTCTTTTATATTAAAATATTAATAATAATTATTAATATATGTAAAGAATTTATGCTAAAATGAAAGTATTGTGAAAATATTCTAAATAAAAATTGAGTTGCAATCATCTTAGAATAGAAATAAATGAGAATTATATATTCTAGAGAATTATCAATGAATATGATTATAAAATATAATTAATAATAGCATGATTGATTGTTTTTGAAGTGCTAAACTGACGATTAATTTTGATTAATTTTGATTTATTTTAGAGAATATAAAAATTCTATATGAAAATTAACTTAATAAAACTAATAAATGATTTTTTTCGATGCATTACCTTCTTATTTATAAAGGATTGATTAAAAATAATACAGGTAAGAAATGGTGCCTGAATGGCTGAGATTATATTTAGATTATGAAACTCTTGAGTGTTTGATGATTGTTGCAGGAGAATATCGACATAAAAAATAAATATTGAAAAATGAGAATTCAATTAAATATTTGGAGTTAACTTAGAATATTGAAATAAAAGAAAAAATTGATAAAGACAAATCCTAATTTTAATTAGTCTTAGATCAAGAATTATAAAAAATAGAATCATTTATACTCTATAAGTACTAAGATTTATTATAAAAATAACAATAATTACAGGAGCAAATAAAACTTATGCATTTATAAGTATCCATAAATAAAACTAAGAAAGAATAATTAAAATAATAGTTCTATGAACTTTACAAGCAATAATTATAATATGAATCATTTATTTAATCACATATTAATATAATGCAGCAAATTTAATTTGAAGTATAATATTGTTTTAAGATTGAAATATTAATTAAAGATAGGGCAATACTTGAACAATTAATCTAGAAAGTGGATGATGATATGTCTAAGACTTGTAAATTACTAAGCTTTAACTTTTATCCATATGATCCAAATACTTGCAGAAAAAATTTGTAAAAATATTCAAAAAGGAAAAACACTTCACCAATTAATATATATTTATTTGGTTTATTTTTTGGTATCTGTATAGTTATCGTTGTCATATTATTATTAATGAGATTAGAAGGAATGTTGGATCCTGAGAATGAATTATTATTTTCTCCAATATTTCCTTCAATTAGAGGTGGTGGATTATTGCTAATTTATTATTGGTTATTGACTTTAAATTAATATATATGGATAAAATATTAAATTAATTACAAATTGTATTTAGGATTTAACCATCATTTTTCTACATTACCTGAAGTGATAAAAAGAGTAAGTTTCTTAAGCACTATATTTTTACTTTTATTTTTAATTACTTGCATTTAAGTAGAAGAAATTGCTTTTAAAGATTATAAAAATATTATAAAATTACTACCACTATTATATTGGATTATATTTTTAGGCTATTTATTGATTCCAACAATAAAAAAATTAAATGGGTAAGGCAGAAGATGGATGTATAGAATGTTAAAAGGAGCTCTTTTCACTCATTTTCTATGTTATGATGGTAGATATACTTTTGTTTTAGATTAATTTGTATCATTATTTTCTCCTATCAGAGATTTGGAATATACAATTTGCTATTATTCAATTGATGTATATTTTTATAAATTAATTTAGTTATTCAATGATAATAAGGAGATAATTAATTATAAAAAATGTGATTAAGGATAAAGAATAGTAGGAGATATTTGTTTGATAGTTGTATTTTCCTTAAAATGTTTGCATTGTTTGACTCTAGCTAAAAAAAATGGGAAATTTTTAAATACTTTAGAAATGTGGAATTCTTTAAAGAATTTACTTGCAGTATCTGTAGGTGTTGTTGGATGTTTAAATAAATTTGATAAAACTGATGCTATTTTATGGATAATTCTGGCTTCAACATTCACTATATTTTAATAATATTGGGAAATAAAATATGATTGGTTATTACTATAACCTAATACTAAATTTAAATTTTTAAGAAGTGATTTAGCATACATAAATCCATATTTTTATTATTTTCTTGTTTTATTAAATATGATTGTAATTTCGGCTTGGGCATTTACAATTAGCCCTTAAATGTATTTATATCTCAAAATTCCAAACTAATAATTATTTATGATGGTTGTGGGAGTTATGGAATTGACAAGACGTAATTATATATGTATATTCTATTAGGATTTATTCATAATTAAATAAAAGTTGAGAAAGAACATGTACTAAATCTTAGAAGATTTAAATCATCAAAAGATTTAATTTATCCTTTTGAATAAAGAGATGAAACAGTAAATAAATTAGGATTATCAAATGCATAAAATCTCTCAATGCTCGAATTTTAAAGATTATCTTAAGAATTTACAAGAAATACACAGTAAAACTTTAATAGACAGGAAATTGAAATTCTACTTTAATAGCCATATGATTAATAAAAAATGAATACAAATAGTTAAATAGATAGAAAAGATATAAGAAAACAACTTAAAACAGAATATTATATAAAAATGATTGAATAGTATACTTGAGTATACATAAAATATGTGTAAAGATTATTCAATGTTATAATACAAATTCATTATACAAATTCTCTACATACTGAAAAGTATCATTTAGAATTTAAACATAAATTTTGGCCCCACTTAATGACCATGAAACAGATGATGGTATTTATTCAAGAAGTATGTGTTATTTTAAGATATTCTTTTCAAAAATGCATATTGAATTGTCACTCATAGCTAATAATCGATCAGTGAAACTATATGTTAATAATTAGACAGGTAAATTAACTCTATGAATAAATTTAAAATTTTCATAAACTAAGAATAAATATATGATAAATACAATCTAAGCATTTTCCTCCTGCAGCAATAGTAGATTTATTCTATGCAAATGCAATTACAGAATATTAATCCTAATTTAATTGTATTGGCTAATCCCAATTATCTTATTTTTTATTATGAATTAATGTTAATCCTGTTTAATCAATAGATGCAAAAGTAATATCATAAGGTGCCCATGATAAATGAATGATTGGATGTTAATGAGATTAAAATGTTATAGCTAATTGCCAATCATTTGGTTTTCTTTCTGTCCATAATTAAATATTATTTGCTATTCCTAGGGCTACAATATTTTATTTATGAAATGACCAAGCATAAACTTTAGTATCAGGTAATTTGAATTTTTGATTTGATAAAGTATCAACAACTTGACCATCAAAAAGTACTTTTTGGCCGATTAAATTCATAATATAAATAAATAATGGGAGCCTGTTGTAATCATCAGTAAACAATACAAAGTTTAATGCCCAATTTTGAATTATCATTTTTGACAATTTACACAAAAAATGCAGTGATAATATAGAGAGCATATAGATGTATATGACTTATAGATTTAGAGTATTAAAAAAGGAAGAGAAGATCAATAGTACCTATATCAATAACAAATGATAGTCAAAGAAGTCATTAAGAGCATATAGAAAATGCAATAGTTCATGAATAGGCTTTGGAAGAAGAAGTAAAGTAGTAATCGATAGAAGAAGTGGCTGCTATAGTAGACCACTCTCCTTTGAATGGAATAAAATTAGATAGAAAATAAAGTGATTACCCAGCTAGTATACATTAGATCATTTATCGAATTGGGAATTTTAATTATAAAGAGTTCCTAAAACAAGAGATTTAATACTATGAAGAAGAAGATTTAAATGTTCCATTTTTAGATCCATACTTATTATTAGATGAGTCTATTTATATAGGATAGTGGAAATAAGGTAAAAGACATGGTAAAGGAAGGGCTATATTTAAAGATAAGAGTGTATATGAAGGATTTTGGAAAGATGATTAAATGAATGGTTAAGGAAGATTGATATTTGAAAATGGAGATTATTATGAGGGAGAATTTCAAGGAAACAAGGCTAATGGGTATGGAAAATAAATTACATCCAAAGGATATTTATATGAGGGAAATTGGATAAATGATAAATAATAAGGAGAGGGCTTTGAGAGATTTCCTGATGGTACAAACTTTAAGGGGAGATTTATTGATGGCATTAAAACAGGATTTGGTGAATTCAATTTCTAAGATGGATCCAAGTATTAGTTCAGCTAAAAACAAGGTATAAAGGATCTATTGTAAATAATAAATTTAATGGAAGAGGAACATTTTATTTTCCTGATGGTCGAAAATATGATGGTTAATGGAAAGAAAATTAAATGGATGGCTATGGAACTTTCACTTGGCCAGATGGTAGATGTTATGATGGATATGTATTTTATTTATTATTAAAATAAGTATGTCAAAGACAAAAAGCATGGTTATGGAGATTTCACTTATTCAGATGGATCAATGTACAAAGGAAATTGGGAAGATGGTAAGGAAAATGGTTAAGGAACATTTTATTCAAAAAATGGTTTATATAGAGAAGGGGAATGGAGAAATGGTAAAAGAATCAAATGGACATCATCATACTAAACTTAATGATCATAGATACTTAATTATATATATTCATTTTATATAAAATGTATATATATATATATATATTTATTTATAAATATTTTTATTTGGAAAATTAAAAAAATATGTTTGAATTTTAATTAATCATTATAAAGAATTTTGAATATATACCTCTATATAGCTTGAATGGTTTTAATCCATTTATTGTAATTTTTTGATATAATGTAAATCTTAACTAAAATATAAATAATATATGTCTTTCTTTAAATAAGATGATAATGTATTTAGATTTTGAATACTCATTCATATATAGAAATAATATATTATATTTAAAAAAAACTTTATTTTCGCATAGATAGAAAAGAAAGTCTTAAAAAAGGAATAAGTGTAGAAACTTTATTTTAAATAAATGAATGATACGCTAATTTTGGTGATTTTAAGGTATAAAAGATTAAAATGTGGAATATTAATTTTTATTTAAAATGAACAAATTCATATTGGCAATTGTATTGTTCTCTATCGCTTATGCTTAATTAACATTCAATGCAAATAATAAATGCGCATGCAACTAGTTATCTACATAATAAGATTGTGTTCAATCATTTCCTATTTGTATTTGGGATTCAAAAAGTAGTTCATGTTCAACTTAAACTTGTTCAACCATAACTGATTAACTTAGTTGTGCCAGTAATTTAAAATGTATGTTTAATGGAAAGAGCTGTGTTGATTTTACACTCTGTAATTAAATAACAGGAGTTGATTAAGCAGAATGCAGAGCAAAATCATAAAATTGTCCATAATCCGATGGTAAAAATTGTGCAAGCAAAGAATTATTGAAATCTTGTTCTGCATATACAAGTTAAAGTAGTTGTGATGGTGTACTTTCATCTAATGGATTTTGCTATTGGACTACTGGTGGAGTTTGTTCAGAAATTTCAAGTTGCTCTTAATTAAGTTCAAATGTTTGTACAAATATTGGAAATGCATGCCAATGGAATAATACTATAAATAATTGTACATAAGCTGGCTGTGGTCAATTTACAAATAATTATACATGTACTAAATATTTAACCTAATTAAATAAAGAAGAATTTTAGTTATGTTAATGGAATAATAGTTCTTGTGTGAATGCTAATGATATATCTTCACTCAATATAAATACTTGTTACAATTAAACATTGTAGACTTATAGATGGGTAAGCAGTTCAAATACATGTGAAATTTGTGCAGGAAAATTAATTTATGTTCTTATCATGGCTGTTTTAATGACTATGATATGATATAATTATACAAATATACATAAATAATATAAATATTTTTATTATTATCAAGTTTTTATTTTAATTAATTTAATTTGTTTATATAATGGAATCCATGATTATACCATATAAGAAAAGAATACTCAAAGCTACAACATTATTATTAATCTGTACTTTCATTCTCATTTTGGATATGTTTTTTAAAGAACCCTTATAGGATTTTGAAGTCTAAGCACTAATTACAATATAAAATGGAATGGGAATCAGTGGTAATGTTATTGAATCTATACCTTTTTTTTTGCTTGCCAATATCTAAGAATAATATGTATTCTTATTGATTACAATGCATGTATTAAGTACTATCTATTTTTTACATGATCGCTTTATAGCTATCAAAAGTATGTTCATTCTTTATGTTGGATGGTATTTTTTAATGCTTTTATAAATGATTTATAATTTACCTTAACCCTTTTGGGTTAATCCTAATATTGACACATATTTTTGTGATTAAAAATATGGTGGTCCTGGAGATTCCATTTACTTACCTGCTCTTTTGATATTTACACTACTCTATTATTATCAATGTTAAATTAAAGCTTATATAATTGCATCAACTTCAATTTTATTTTATTGCTTTGCTGTTTACATTTCAGCTTAAGTTTTTTTAATGGATTTAGTCTTAGGTTTTGTTTATTTTATGTTATTTTATGCTTTTGTTATAAATTATGATAAGAAAATAACTAACTTTATAAAATCTAAAGATAATGATAAACTTTTTGGAATAAAAGTATTAGGAATGGTAACTATTCTTTTTGTTTTAGCACTTATTTATTATACTTTAAAAGATTATAATGATAGTATAGAATGGGTTACAAATTATTTTACTTGTTATATGAGACAATTTACAGTGGGAGATTGTAAATTTCAATTTATAATTAGATTAACATTATAGATTCAATACAATTTTAGGATTAGAGCCTACATTTTGTTAAATAACGATTCTAATTTGTTTGGTAGTAATGGGTTTCATTTAATTACCAAAAAACAAAGCATCTAAATAATAATTTATAATTATTTAATTGGCATTTATTCCAGGATGGCTTATAATGTTTTTATAAGGATTTGTGACTGAAATTGATATTTTACATAGAATGGGTTTAAGTCAATTAATAATTGAATCTATTATTTTTGGATTGATGCATTGGTGGATTTTCGGATTTGTTGGTAAAAAGGCAACCAATTCAATAGTTACTGATGAATATATGTTATTAGAATGATAAATTAAAATTTATATAATTTATCTAATTAATTTAGATGTAATTATTTTTTATGTTTTTGATTATCATAATTCTTTATCAAATATTTATATAAATAAATACATTTAATAAATTTCTTATTTCTATGAATCAACAATTTACTTTCTAACGAATATCTTCTTTATAAATGTAAACAAATGAATTAAAAAAAAAGTATATTCTTTAAAAGGTTTTAGGCTATGGCTAATATGGGTAATTTTAATATTTAATTTAGAACTGTATATCAAGGTGTGAATATGTGCACCAGAGAAACAGTTGCTATCAAAGAATTGCGTCATAGCAATACTGATCAAGGGGTTTGCTATATTATTTTATTAAAGATTAATGTATAAGTCTTAAGAGAAATAGAAATACTTAAATTAATGAAATGTCAATAAATTATTTCTTTTAAAGATTTAGCATATGGATAGAATAAAGTCTATATTATTATGGAATATATGGAAGAAGACTTACTAACAGCTTTAAAAAGAGATACCTTTTCAGAATAAGAAACTAAAGTGATCATTTTTTAAGTGCTTCAAGGTTTAACATACTTGCATTAATTAGGGATCATTCATAGAGATATCAAACGTACTTTTTTATATTGATATTTTAGCTAACAATATTTTACATACTAATTTAGAAATTAAAATTTGTGATTTGGGGATGGCTCAAAATTTAAATAAATTGAAGCCACAAACAACCCGAATTCAAAATCATTCATACAGGGCTCCAGAAGTGTTCCTTGGTTTATTAAATGACTAATATTAGGTTAAAAATATTGCTCTAAGGTTGATGTTTGGGCTACTGGAGTACTATTTATTTAATTGATTTTAAAATACAATATTTTTTAAGGCCAATCTGATATTGCTAGTTTTAAATAAATTATAAAATTTTGTGGAACACCAACTGAAGGTATTATTTCATTTATAACTAGAAAATTGGTAAGGTGTGACTTCACTTAGAAACTATTCTTCTCTAATTAATGAAGAGCCTTAACCTAGAATACTATTAACTTTATTAAATAAAAAATTGCCTCCATTATTAGTAAATCTTATTGATTCAATGCTTACTCTTGATCCTAGTCAAAGAATATCTGCTTAAGATGCCCTTTTACATCCTTATTTTCATGGATTAAATATAGAAAAGTTTATTTATTATTTTATCCTTATTTTATAGATGCCTTCATAAAATTTAGGCAAATAGAAAAAAAATAAACACTGAATAGTAAACTTATACAGAAGTCTTTAATTATTCCGATGGAAGCAAAGCAATTATTGTTTCGAAAATCTTAAAAAAAAGCAAAAATTGCTTTTGAAAACTCAATAATTTTGTTTTCTCTTAAATCTGTTTATAAAATTAATATAATTATAGCATAACTATATATAATTATAATAATTATTTCAATTTATTTTTTAATTCATCTTAAGTTTCCTTTTTGAGAATTAAACACAAAAACTTTAAAAACCATAAAACAATTAAATCAGGTTGGCTCTAAGTTACTATTTTCAATTACATAATTCAATAAATATGATAAATAATCTCATTTTTTTTTAATTCAAGATCTACTGATAAATTAAAATATATTTAAATAAATTATGGTTTGTATTAAAAGTTCAAAATATTTTTATACTACCTTATTTAATATTTCTTTACAAATAGAAACTTTAGATAACACTAAGAATTGTGAATTCTTCAGAACTAAGAATCAACTTTAGCCAAATTTTTTCTCATTTAAAGGTAAATAGTATTTTATATAAAAATTATATTAATATATTTAATTTTCAAAAATTTATTGAGCCTAGATGAAAAATATTTCAAAATTACACTTAAAAATTTCATTGATCAAACTAATAAATATTAAACTAACAAGTAATTCTTGTTTCTAAGCTACTTTTTAATAATAATAGACTAATAATTTAAGATTTCTAATTAATTAAAGATTCTTGCATAATCTAAGAAAAAATAGTAAGTAATGACTATGAAATAACATAACGTAACAGAAAAAAAAAATATATATAAAATGTATTAATAAAATATTTTATTAATAATAAATATTTAATAAGTACAATATTTTAAATATTTATAATCAATAAAAAAATTATAAATACATAAGGTTAAATTTTTTGTTTTAACGCCAAAATAAACAAATTATAACTATAACAATAATGATTTTAATATAAATAAACCAAAATTATTAGATTTTATTATTTATTCGTTTTTTTGTACATTGAGTTTAAATGGTTGAATACATAACTTAGAATAATAAACTATGATAATTAACTTTGATTAAACAAATTCTTAAATAAACATGTTCAATAAAATAAATAAGAAGAAAAAAAAAATAAATATTTTTTGATTTCTCTAAACTAACTGAAAACAAAATTTTATTGAAAAGTAATTAGCATCTGATATTGAGTAATAGTTGTAAGTAATAACATAGCTAATAATAAATTATATATTATATTTCAAGCAAGTCTCTAAAGAAAAAGATTTAGTAAGTTAGTACAACATATCGTATGAAAATACCAAAGTATATTTTTCAGAATGAATTAGTTTATTTCTATAAAATGAGTAAGGTAATTATTCTATATAATTTGTACATCTTTGAAGGAGTTAATTTTAGAAACTCATTATGCAACCATAATTTTGAATAGATGAATAATATTTAATTACTCGATTCATTATATAATATTTAAATTATGATCAATTGTAGTCCTCTATAAAACTAGCTTAAATTTCGCTGAATGTTTAAGACAAAGTTCCAATAAAATTAGACAATAAGTCTTCAGCTTCAGGAAAAAGTTTCAGTTAGATTAATTCATCAAACATCGGCATGTAGGATTCTTGATTTATCTAAGGTATAAGCTCTTCTGATGCTTCATTCAAATTTTAATATTCACTAAAAATGATAAATAAATAAATTACTTTCCAAGAACTTGATCCCAAATAAATCTTAGTGATTTATAATATCTATTCTTTAACATATTTGTAGTCTTTCCTGGAAAATATCTAGAAAACTTGTGAAATTTAGGTCCCCTCTTTAATACATAGTTTAATAATCTTTGATCTTCTTCTAATGAAAATTCTTTTGCCCTGTTTTTTTATTTTTTTCTTTTTAAATCCTTTTCTCTCTTCACTGTATAGCGTATTAATTTATTTCTTGATTCTTTAGAAGCTTTGGTTAACCATTAATCATTTTTAATCTTCAATTTATGCGAATAAACGCCATCTAAATTTTCAGTTATATCACCAACTGCTTAATATGTCAAAAAATCATACAACTATGGTCTTAACTACTCATGAGGGATGAGTTGACATCATTCATTTAGTTTTCACAATTTGAATTTGGTTTATGTGAACAATTGGCTTACTATTAATTTCTTCTTTAGTCATTATTACTTTAATCCTTATCAGTTTTATTGCATAGATTGTATTTTTTTGATTTTCTTATTAGCTTAACTGTCATATTCATTAGTGTTAATTAAGATATAAATAAATTTGATTTATTAATCTGAAACATACTCACATATAAATTTTGATAAATCTTATTTGTTTTTTATTTATCCTTAATTTTCTATAATAAAATCTCTTCATATTTATTGATAAAATGTTCTAATACTATAGTTATAGATATGAATAGATGCTAAAATATGATATTTTTAGGTAATTCTCTAACACATTTTTAATTTAAGGATTATTTTAATTTACTTCTTTCTATTTTCATTCTTTATAACAATTCAATAATTCTATTCCTTTTAATGCTATTTCTATAACTTAAACGAGAGATTAGCGGAATCTTTTTGAATCTAATCCATTAAAATTTAATTTTCGGATAATAATAATTATAATTAACTAATATTTATGTAAATCAATAATAATTCTTTTTTTAAGCTACATATTAGTAAAAAAATTATTAATTTACTAATGTAAAACATAACTATTATCTTTGGATTTTTTACAGTGTTTTTGATTCTTCACATTAATGATTAACATTTTTGAAGAACTAATAAAAATTTGATAACTATTAAATTTTTGCTATTTTTTAATGAGAAATATCCAAATCTAATTATTAGAAACAATTTTGACACAAAATAACGTTTTTCAATAAAAAAATCTTAAAAACGATAATTTTTATATATAAATTCAGATTTTTTTTGTTAATATTATTAAGTTAAATAGACAAATTAATCATATCATTTTTAAAAAAAACAAAATTCAAAACTTACAGTTTCTTTTAATCATAGCCTAGCTATTTTATTTGCAAAATAATTTTTGAATTGCTATATATGCTATATGATTATTATTGATTTACAAAGTTGTCTGATAACCTATTGTTAATGTGTTTTTTTATTAAATAAATTAAATAAAATAGTTATTGTAATTTTTTGTTTAAAATTGATTTAAAGAGGATGTAAATAAGAAATTTTACAAAAAGTGAATTTTATTTGTAATTAAACATATAACAATAAAAATTTTACTGTAATTTGATTTATANCTTATTAGCTTAACTGTCATATTCATTAGTGTTAATTAAGATATAAATAAATTTGATTTATTAATCTGAAACATACTCACATATAAATTTTGATAAATCTTATTTGTTTTTTATTTATCCTTAATTTTCTATAATAAAATCTCTTCATATTTATTGATAAAATGTTCTAATACTATAGTTATAGATATGAATAGATGCTAAAATATGATATTTTTAGGTAATTCTCTAACACATTTTTAATTTAAGGATTATTTTAATTTACTTCTTTCTATTTTCATTCTTTATAACAATTCAATAATTCTATTCCTTTTAATGCTATTTCTATAACTTAAACGAGAGATTAGCGGAATCTTTTTGAATCTAATCCATTAAAATTTAATTTTCGGATAATAATAATTATAATTAACTAATATTTATGTAAATCAATAATAATTCTTTTTTTAAGCTACATATTAGTAAAAAAATTATTAATTTACTAATGTAAAACATAACTATTATCTTTGGATTTTTTACAGTGTTTTTGATTCTTCACATTAATGATTAACATTTTTGAAGAACTAATAAAAATTTGATAACTATTAAATTTTTGCTATTTTTTAATGAGAAATATCCAAATCTAATTATTAGAAACAATTTTGACACAAAATAACGTTTTTCAATAAAAAAATCTTAAAAACGATAATTTTTATATATAAATTCAGATTTTTTTTGTTAATATTATTAAGTTAAATAGACAAATTAATCATATCATTTTTAAAAAAAACAAAATTCAAAACTTACAGTTTCTTTTAATCATAGCCTAGCTATTTTATTTGCAAAATAATTTTTGAATTGCTATATATGCTATATGATTATTATTGATTTACAAAGTTGTCTGATAACCTATTGTTAATGTGTTTTTTTATTAAATAAATTAAATAAAATAGTTATTGTAATTTTTTGTTTAAAATTGATTTAAAGAGGATGTAAATAAGAAATTTTACAAAAAGTGAATTTTATTTGTAATTAAACATATAACAATAAAAATTTTACTGTAATTTGATTTATATAGTCAATCTATATAATTTATAAAATAAACTTAAATCAATTAAATTAAGAATGCATTAAATCTTCTAAATTCTCAATCAAATAGTTCTCCAATATCAACAACTTCTTTTGGTTCTTCATCTTTATTTTTGGTGGTTTGGCTTTTGATGCACGAGGTGTTTTGGCAAAATATTGCTTTTTGAGCTGTTAGCTTTATGCATTTTATTTATTAGTTAGCAATACATTCTCTTCCTCCAACCAATAAACTTTTCAATTATTTTTAAACCTTGTTTTTCAAATTTTTCCTTTTCCTAAATATAAAGTAAAAATAGTAATTTTAGAAAAGATGGATGATCCATTTTGATATTATTTACATACAGGAAAAACATTTAAATTCCTGACAAACTTAATACTTCGAAAGAGAAATTCTGGCTTTAAATTAGACATAGTTAAAGCTTCTTAGAGTTTTTTTTTAGTAAATAGCCTATTCGACAGAATCATCCTATTTTTTAGCATAAATAAAAATATATATATTATTTTACGCTTTTTAACTTAAATTCAATTACATAATGGTGATCTAATAAAGCATTAAATATAGCAAATAAATTGTAATATTAAAAATTAGGTGATCTAATCTAATCAACATTTAAAAAGAAAATTTGATATTTTTCATTTTGGTAGTTATTTAATTATAAATTTGGAATATTTTCATTTGTGCATTATTAAATATCTTGTTAAGTTTTATTCCTATTAAAAAGTCAAAATTAAATCAAAATAGGCCACTTCTCTAACAAATAATAGAGCCAATTATAATTAGAAAAAAGATTAAAGAGTAACTGTTTTTTAATTTTCAAATGGTAAACACATGTTATTATTATTAATAATATATTAAATTAAATAAATTCAATTTCCTATTCTATTAGCATTGACTCCAAATAATGCATATGATTGTAAATCATTTTAATTAACGCTACTATTATATTAAGGTGCTTCTTACTCTCCATTTTAATCATTTTAAAGTAAATCCTGAACTAAAAATTATATATACATTATCTTTTGCTTTTCTCATTTAAAAATATGTTTTTTTCATCTCCTATAAATCTCCCTTCATTCTATCGATTTCAAATTTTAGCATATCAACCTATATTTAGTTAATATATTACATAATCTTAACTTTGTTTCAACTGACTTAAAGTTGTTTTCATTTTAGCTGCATTTTCTTTTAAGGATTCTTTATATTAAGCAAGTTATTAATGTATTTCAACACCTGGTTATCTAGATAAAATATTTTTTAATTCCATAAATAATTTTTCTTTTTCTTTTATTAAATTTTCTTTTTCATTTACTTCTTCAGTTTTAGCTATTAATCTTCTTTATAATGTTTAAATTTTTAAGATTCTCTCAAAGTTTTCTTAATCAGTTGCTTCAAGTTTTCTCCATCGATGTACATTCATTGGATTTTCCAATTCATCTGATAAAGCTTTAACTTTATTTTTCTCATTTAATAATTCCTTTTCGATATTATTTATTTCTTTTCTTAGTTCGTCGATACAAGCAGTTTAATCTTAAGTAGACTTAAATTTAAAAGAACTATTACTTTTAATTCATTTCTTAAATTTGTTAATTCATCTTTTAAACTTTTTAGTTCTATTTCTCTTTCTCTAAAATTAATTTCTCCTTTACTTAAACTTGATTAATTTAATTTAATTTTCTCATAAAGAATTTAAAGTTCTTAATTTCTTTTTATTAATTAAGTTCCTAATATATCTCTTTCATTTACAACCATTTCATAATCCTTCTGTTATCTTTATTTTTCTGTTTATGCTCCTTATATAATATTTTTTAATCTTGAAATATGACTTTCTTAATTTTTTATTAAGTCTTCATCTGCTTTAATATTTTTTTCAACTTTAGCTTTATCTTATTCAATTTTAGCATTCTCCTCTTCAACTTTATGAAATTCAAGATCCTCTTTTACTAATTATTAATCCTTTGTTTTAATTTCTTCTTTTAATTAATCTACTTAATGCTTCATTCTTGTATACTTCTTTGTTAATTCTTAAATTTCATTATGACTCTCTAGTAAATTTTTAGAATAAAGATTTCTATCACTTCTTACTGTTTCATATAATTATTATTAATGTTTTAATCTAGCTTCAGCTTCAGCAATTTATTTTTGTTATTCAGCAATTTAATTATTTTTAATTTTCACTTCTTCAACTGTTTAATAAAATTTAGCATGAGCTTATGAAGCCTCTATACCATATTTTTCTTATTCTCTTTATAGTTGTAATATCATTTTATTTATTCTTTCATTACTAGCTTCATATCCCATTACTTAATTTTCTACTTTTTTTAATTTATTAACTTTATTAACAATTTCTTCATCTGTTTAATGCTATACATCTTCTTATTTTTTTAATGTTTTCTATTATTATGTTCTTGATTTGATTCTTTAACTATTTTATTCATTTATTTTATCTAAAATATCTTTCTTCTATTATAATTCAATTTTTTCAGTTTCAATTAACATATCTTTTGTATTTTTTTCAATTAATTATTCTTCTTTTTCTTTAATAGTTCTATTTTTTTCTTTAGCTGTTATTTCTTATTCCTTATGTGTTTTTTTAACGTCTTTTTTTTCTTTTTATATTTCTATTTATAATTTTTCTAATTATTCTTATTATATTTTTATTTACTCTTTATAACTCTTTAATTATTCTTCTTAATTTTCTCTATCTTTTAAAGCAGCAGCATATTTATCTTCAGCTTCTTTTTATTTTGTATGTTAACTTTCTTTTTCTTTTATTTTTATTAATATTGTATTATTTGTAGAAACTATTTATTTTTTGATATCATGAATTCTAGATTACTTTTCTTCAATCTCCTTTTTTGCTTAGTCTATTTTTTATTTAATATCAGCCATTTTTTATTCTTTTTTTTTCTTTCTATTTTCTTATTCTTTTGAATCAACATCAATTTTAGCAATTTTATCCTCTAAATCACTAATCTTCTATATTTAATCTTAATATTATTTTTCTTCATTATCTAAATCATGTTTTAAATTTTTATTCTGCTATTCTAAATATTCAAATTTTGATTTAGCACTCTAAAAATCTAAAATTTTATCTAAAATATACTCTTTTTAATTTCATCTATTAATCTTTTTTTATCATTCAATTATATTTAACTTTGCTCTTCTATATCCTCAACAACTCTATCGCATTATTTTTTTAACTAGTTAAATAAATTTATTTTTCTACATTTTCAACTTCAATTTTTGCTTAAACAATTCTTTCTTTCAATTCTTTCTCTTTAATTTTAAGATCTTCAATTTTCCTCCATTTTTCTTCTAATTCTTTTTAAAAAGTTTCTGATTATTAATTATCATCATTAATCATTTTTAATGACATCTAAACTTTCGATGTGTAGATTACTATTTCACCATTATGTTCTTTGCATCTAAATTTATTCTCTTATTATACTTTTTAGTCCATCTAACTTCATTTTCATAACTTTCTTTTAGAGAATTATAAAGAGTTTCATATTTTATCTTAAATAATTCTAAATCAGGGTCCCCACTAAAATCTCTTACAACATCTTGAAAATGCTTTTCAATTTATTGTATAATTTATGGATCTGTAGAATATTAATCTATTTCTTTATTTAAAGCTGCCAAACTTAATCCTTCTTCTGGAGCTCTTGCCATTTATTTATATTATTAATAATAAAAAATATTATAAATAAATAGTAATTATTTGCTCAATAGAAATAGTTATTAGTTATTGGGCAACAAAAATATTAACTAATTATTAAATTTCATATTTATTAAGTCTGACCTTTCAATTTTTCATTCTAAATTTTGAAAATTAAACTTGAAATTTCTTTAGTTAAAAAATTATCTGCTTCAAAAAATTTTAAAAAATTTTCAGCCTAAAATTAAATTAATGTAATTACATCAATCAATTCAGTTATTCCTGATAAATCAAATGCCATATTATTCTATAAAACTTCATCTAAAATTGTTTTTGCATCATCTTTTGAATATTTACTTTTTGGACAATCAAAAGTTGATTAATCTCCCACAGTAATTAAGTAATTTAAAAAAAAAGGAATAACATATTATATTTAACCTTAATTAAACATATCAATTTATTTCCATAATTAAGGTTTCATCATTGCTAATCCTTAAATAATTAATTTCATTTCTAATATATTAAATGAATCCTATTCATTAAAAAATTCAATAATCTTTAATATCTACTCATAAAAAAAAATCTTCATTAATCCCAAATAATAAAAATAAAGTCCCTTCATTGGGTGTTTTACTTTACCAAACTATTCAACAATTAAATCTTCAGCATCACTCAAAGTTATTGTAGCATCTCCAATTTGATTTAAAAACATATAGTTTTATGCTAACAGTAATTTTAATTAACTTATTTAATGTTTATTGATTTATGTTTTATCTTTACATTCCTTTGAATATCCAGTTAAAGCTCTTTCAATAGCTTAACATGATAAAAGTCTAAATATCTTTTCCTTTGAATTTTCATCTAATTTATAAACATTCATTTAAAAAGTAATTAAATTATTTTCCAGTTCAAATTCCTCTAATTCTTCTTAAGTAATTTCTCTCAATAAAATTTTTGCATTTCGTTTCTTATTACTCGATCTTATAATGTTCTTTAATTGTTAAAGATGATCTTTTTTGACATCTTAGATTTATATTAATGTATTATAAATTAAGTTTTCTTTACCTATCCTAGTTAAAATATGAGCCAATATATTCCAAAATTAATTTTTATGTCTTTAAGTTTATAATTTTAACTGAAATTAAAGTAATATACTTAATTTTGGGATTTTAAATTGGCTTTTGGATAAAATCTCTAAATGATTTAATATACATTCTGTAATAAAAAAATCATCTATAACATTATCAAATAAAGCATCTTCAATTGATTCTGTAATTTTAAGGGGAATAGGTTAACAAATTTATTTGATAATATTCTTTTATGACTAAAAACAAATCTAAAAAGTTAATAATATATAATACAAAACTGTTTTTATATCCATTACTATTTTCTTTAATGTAGAAACCTTATTCAAGATCAAGCTAATTCAAATAAGATAATAATTAAATTGAAAAATCATAAGCCTTTTCCATATCAATCATTGCTATATAATATCGACAAATAAAATGACAATGAAAAGCCCAAGATAGACTTCCATTTAAAAATTTATATTCTGCTACTCTAAAATTATATTTATTCATACATCTTTAACAAGGATAAGATTTCTTCATCCCCACATTCTGCTTTTATTGAACAATAAGCAGTTTTCAAAATTTACTATAAAGGAATTGATAATTTAATAAAACTAGCAGCCATAAAATCCTCTATAATAGATTAGGAAAATTTAATATTAAAATAATAAGGCAGATTGAAAACAAAATATCTTGCATTTAAATTTTCCTCTTCAAAATATTCTACAATATTATTTCTATGATAGAGTCTATCATAAGGGCTTTTAATCATTAATGAACTTTTTTATTTTATAATAGCTTCTATTAGCTGTATATCCTTTTTAAATCCTTTATGTTATCCATGAAAAATTTTTGCATTTTCATCTAATAATTTCTTAGTCAAATTAATTATTAAGTTTGCCATATCAAGCTCATCAAATTCATAATATATTTATATTAAACCCAAAACGAATACTGAATTTTTAAATGTCTCATTTATATATTGCTCGAAACTATTATATATATCACCTAATTTTTGTTTTTATAGAAGCATTATTCTTGAATGTGTCAAAATATATTAATGATACATAAAATAATCAGATTAAAGATTTATTAATATGCTCTCAATTGGTAGTTGAAAAATTTAATAATTTTTAGCTTTAGAGAATGTTAAATCTCCTTAATTCATTAATTTTGATATTTATAAGAATATTTCATCCTAATAATTAATATAAGTGGAAATGTTTTCAAAATGTTTCTTTGAGAAACTATAACAATAAGATAAATATATAAAAATTCTTAATTACACAAGCCCTTAATGAAATAACCATGAAGAATTTTCATTATTTTGATTAGTAAAATAATCTATCTTAACTCCTAAATTCAAGTTTTTATGCAATTATTATAATTATATTATTTTCGAAGTTCCCTCTAAATTTATTTGTCCTAATTAATCTTTATTTAAAATATTAACTTTTTACTTCAAATTGATTGGGCAATAGTCATACAATTTTAAAAGAAAATGTATAATTTTAATATTCAAAAGCATTTTCGTTTATTCATTAGTTGATGTTGAATTTAATATGTAAATTAAAGCACTTTTGTTTTTAGCATTACATTTTAAATTATGATATGAAAATATTTATTTCCAATTATACTCCAAATTTGTTGATTCTTCTAATTCTGACTCTTAATATTGTTTTTTTTCAATATTTGCTTTAATCTACAGAATATTATATTTTCCTAATTCACATTAATTCTCACGTTAAAAAAATTAAGAAACTTATTAAGTGATTTAAAAATCAACCTAAAGAGATGATATTAAAATTTGAAAATAAGTATATGCTGGAATATCTTAAAAGTTATAATTAATAAATTCTTATGACTTCAGGTGAAATAATTCATTCTTACAATCATGTAATATAATTACTTATAAGTAGAGATAGTATATATACTAGATTGCATATAAAGGATTAGTTTGTATTTCTTAGTTAATATTAAAAATGTGTACTTTTTCATTACTTATTTCTTATTCTTCCCTCTCAATACCAGGACTTAATTAGTTAAAATTGAATTAACTTGGACTTAATTCTTAGGCTTCACTAAAAATTTCAGAAAGTTTTTCTCTATGCATAATTTTTTATTAGGTTTCAATGATTGTAGATATTGCCAATTTAGCAAACTCATAATGTTCACTATAATATTACTATAGCACATATAGAGTATAAAATTAATTTAAAAATCGATTGACCTGCTATTCAAAAACTAATATATTTTCAATAAGATTATAATTCTTTCTTAATTACTAAAGTAATATTTATCTCTCTTTTGATAATAATTATGAAAATTACTAAGTAGCACTCTATAATGTTTTGAGAATTATGCATTGCTCTGTTTCATTTAGATTTGCAACATTTATATTTGATGTCAACTGTTTTATTATAAGTCTTATTTCTATAGTTAGTTTTTTTAAAATATCAATGAAAAGATTTAACTATCCTGTTATGTCAAATTTCAATTGAAATTTTGCAGCTATCTGATAATAGTAAATTAAAATCATATCAAGATTTCTTTTTAGAGAATGTGAAGATAATAAATAAGAATTTAGGTCTTCTTATAGTTAGATACAAAAGTAAGAAAAAGTGCTTTCATTAATCTAAAAAACTTCCTTTTGAATATAATCTTCGAATTCTTAAGTTTAAGATAAAGCATCATTAAATTATTTCATTCTAAAATTTAAGTTTATTTTATGTAGTATTGACCAAGTATAGGTTTAGTATGATAATCCTTAAAAAGGTTTTTGCTTCTAATGATTATCAACTTCAAATTTCATTTCAGTGAAACAAAACTATTTTTATAAAAAGTCTAAAATCTTCTAAGGATTATCATCTTAAAATAATAATTGATTAATTATCCATTTAAAAGGATGTTATAATTTATCAAAATAAGGTTTTATATCCTCTATTTCTTCTAAATATATCATTTCTAATAAAATTTTACCCAATTCAAAATACGAATGAGATTTGGTAATAGAATTTAAAATATGATACTCCCTTTTGATTAAAAAAAGATTTCTACTTGATAAATTCTTAAAATCTGCAGTCTTTAAAAGGTTTAAAGATGCATTGATAAATTATTTTATTTCAGATTCTGTATATGGAATTGCATATGTTTTCCTATATTTTAAAACTTACAAAAAGCTTTTGGGTTCAAAAGCATTATAAATACATATACAATAACCCTTTATATAAAAGTCATCTATTTGATCAACAAGATTAACCATTCTATAATAAGTCTTACTTTCTGAATATAATATCCCTTCTTCATTATCTGTATACTTTTAAAGTTGAATCTATTCTCCATGCTTTATTTAAAAAAACTACAATAAAGACACTGTTTCAGATGAACCTACTTAAACTATCCAAACATTATCATGCAAATGCTTAATAAACTTTATTTTAGGAATAGGGAATTGTTCAATTTAGAAATAAGAGAGGATCATATCTTATAAAATAGTTGTTGGTTTTTAAAAAATGGAAGAATCTTTACATTAATCAACTATATTTTTGTATTCATTTGATTTCATCTCTTCAATGAAATAATTTGATGAAATATTTCTTTTAGAACTAAGAGGCAAATACCATTATGTTTTTTTTCTTAAAAATAAAATATTATATTTACTTTAATTCTATATTATTGAAAATTTCAATAAAATCTGTAAATCTTATTTTTTCTAAATTAGAATAATCTATTTATGAATCTAATTCTAATTATAATGGATTTTCAGGTTCTAGACCCTCAATTATTTGATTAATTTTATAATATTCTTAAATTAATTACATTGATGGCTTCTTAAAAACATGTTTTCTAAAACCTTTAAAAGTCAATGCTTTTAATTTTAGCATAATAACTTTTCTTGTATTTAACCATGAATGTTTCTCAACATATCTCTAATATTTCTTAACAAGATTTGTATATTCTACATTTTCATCTCCATTTTCCTCTTTCTATTATCCAATTAATTGAAAATCTTTTCTAAATTTTTATTGAGCTTTTTCATCATAATAAGTTCTCATTTAACTAAGTTTTGAAGATATTATTAAAAATCTTCTATAATCTAAATTTTTTAATTAAATTATTTTCCTTCTCATATGGATAAATCTTTGAGACACTCTCCTATCTGTCCAAAGTTATCTATATTTTGTCAAAATTTGTGCTTTATATAATAATGAGTAAATTTTTAATAGTAATCTAAGTTTTTATTTTTCTGTTTATTATTTGAATACTAATTTGAAAGCCCAATTCTATTATCTACTTTTAAAGTACTCTAAAATTTTAGAAAATTAGAATTCGCCCAAATATTATTTATCTAAATTTTTTGAATATGGTTCTATTTTAAGAACATTCAATTAAGGATTTATTTCTGGAATTTCATAATGATCATGTAATTCATCATCAGAACTAACTGTTTCAAATTTTCCAGTTTCTGTAGAGTTTCGTGTACCATAGACTTTTAAAATAGGAAATCTTTGTAAAGCTTCTTTATTATCCTGAGATTTTCCTTATTTAATTTTATTTTGAATTGTTGCTTTAATTAAATATTTATGCCTTTTCATTATGTCACTCAATGCATCTGGAATTTATCCAAAAATAATTCCAATAAAAAATTTACAAAAGCAATTAAAGATCAAAATAGATAAAAATACCAGTATAAGCTCATAACCATAATCTTTGTTATATTAAATAGTTATAACACCAGTATTATTTAATAAGCAAAGCAAACTTATAATTTCTAAAAAACGATTCCAAATTCCTAAAGTGCTTTCGTTTTTTGGCCATGGTCGTTATAAACAATTTAAGAAAGTGTTCTTTTTAACTTAAATTTGCATTATATTTGAAATCCATAAAATAAAAAAGCTAAATGGAAATGTGTATCCAAAGATACTTAAAAAAGATATAAGAACAAATAACTCCATATAATCCTACATTGTCCCATATCGTTCAAAATCTTAAGAATAAGGTTATCTTGATGATTGTTCTTCAACAAATTCCATTATATCATTTTAATTATAATCATAATTTTTGATTTTAAATTTTTTTAATTGATAAACAAATACACCAAATTTTAAAAATTGCAAAAATAAAATTAAGATTACAATAGTTGAGAAATAATATTTAACATGCTTTTCACAATTTGTGAGTGAACAATATAAATTGAGAGGTTTGTTCAAATATTCTAAAAATAAGAGCGGAGCTATGTATGAGAAAAATTAAAAAATGAATTTTTTTAAAACAAAGCTTGTTTCATAAGCTTCAACAGTTTTATAATTCTCATATTCAGTTAATTATCCAGCAATTTTATCGAAAACAATATCAGCAATAGATTATGCAATAAAATTCATTGCTGCAGCTGATGTAACTTCTATAGTAGCAATATCAAATGATTAAAGTTCTTATGAGTATTTTATATGCAATTCAGCTGAAAATACAAATAAAGATACTATGATACCAATATAAAACAAGATAAAAACAAATAGTAACATTGAACTAATTAATGTTCTTCTCACATATTCACTAAATAAGACTTCTATAGAATTTAATTAATCATTAACTAATGATCTTATATGTTTTCCTTTAAATTTTGATCTTTAGACTTGTTATTAATTTTGATTAGTTTAACCATATCTTAAATTAAAATATATCTGTTTTTGTTGCCATAAATCTGTGAAAGTATTACTCCATTAAATTTATAAAAATGCAAATAAGATTGTAATCAAATTATATATGTCACTTTCATTATCCCATATTATCCACTAAATTATGCTGCAAGCAAATCCTGCAATAGCTATAGGAGTAGTCATTTCAGTGAAATAGCTCATAAAATAAAAATAAAGACCTATTTTTTCTCCATAATATCCACAAATTAAATCACAAGGACTAATCCAAGGTTTTAAATAATCCAATTTCCAATCATCTATCAATTAAAAGGGTTTCTTTTTAAAAAATCTTGTATCCAAAGTTATTTAAGCTTAAATATTACTGCATTATCCAAATAATTCATAATGATCATTTAAACAGAATATTTATCCAATAATATTTAATTAATGTAAAATACTGAGATCTAATTCTTGAGAGACTTTTTAATAAACTAATTTCAATCTTTCTTAAGATGAAAATAATGAAATCTGATTATTTTCATTTTTTACATATTTTCTCCAGCATAATTCTTATTTTGCTTAATGAGTTTTCGTATTTTCTTTATTAGGCATTTAATAGGGATGATACATATCAAATGGTGGTATTTCTGATCTTTACCATAAATTAAATAATTTAGTTTATTCACCGTTTGCAACCTACAAAGCCTCTTAAAATGAATAAAGGTAATTTAAAGAAACTGATTCTTTCTTTAATAATTTTAATGCTTTCACTTTAGGAATTTATAATGAGAATTAAAAATTAGAAAATTCATCCATAATTCTTTCTGCCTATTATTCAATTTACTATATGATTTCTAAATGCTTATAATTTTTATGCTCATTCAAATTTTAATAATTAAGGTTTTAAATATCTTTATTATCAGAATGTCTTTTCTAATAAATCTAAAGAGGAGTAATTTATTTATTTAGTAAAGAAGCTAACTCATTATCAATTAATTAATTTAATCTAAATTACTTAACACATTTTTCTAAATGTGTTAAATATTTATGATAAGCTATCCATTCTTCATCAGTAGGTCCATCATCTTTTTCACTAAAATCTAATTTACCATATTCGAATAATTATGAATTTATTGAGCTTTAATTAGTTTCTCTGGCTATTCTCTTAAAATTAATTAATTAAATTAATTTTATCATTTAAGGTCTTAAATATAAAAATAAGTCTGAAACTTCATAATTCTAAGGTTTCCATAATCTGTTATTTATTCTTAGTGGTCTAAATGATTTATCTACAGGTTCTAAAGAAAATAGATCAATAAACCAAAAATTTAATGGTTTCAATACATGACTTTAATCAGCCACTATTTTAAGATTAGAATCCTACATATTTAACATAACAAAAATCTTGTCACCCTCACTAGATATAAATGATTAAATATTAAATCCTACTTTATTTAATTTAATGATCAAGGCATTTCTAATTAATGTAGAAACATCTTAAGTTAGACAATTTGTTCTTAACCAAAAATCACTTTAATTTTCCAAATATTAACCTCCTTTCCATTTTCTTAAAGATGTCTATTTTAATTCTTTATAATTTAAGGTTAAACAATCCATAATATTTGCATGTATATCCTTTTAGAGCAAATTATGAAATTACTTTTCTAGTTAAGAAACGTAATTTTTAATTATTTCTATATAATTATATTCAAATACCATTTTTATCAATTTGATTCTCCCTAATGTCAGATTTGTCTGCTAGTAAAATTTGTTATTATTAATCTTTATCTCGAATGTTTCTTTGTTCTTAATTCTCTTCTGTTAGAAGAACGGTCGGGTTATAATATGGATCATATTCAGGCAAATTCAAATATATTGACTCAATTGCTTTTAATAACAATAGATCATCTAGTGATTTTTAATTAATTCTCAATCCTGATTGAAGAAATTCAAATAATTCTATGCTTGTCCCAACCAAATATTAATTTTGACTATCATTCTTATATTTATAGTCTGGATTTATTAAACTATATAAATAAGGATAAGTAATGAACCTAATTATGCAGTCAGGAAATACTTCAAAATCTTCGCTTAGATTTTTCTTGAAATTCATTAAATTATAATTGTAATTGATATCCTCCTCTTCTTCCAACTCAAATCCTAATAATGTTTTTATAAAAGTTTTATAGATATTCAACGGTTTCTAAAACACCTCGCATTTTTTATCAAATCTAGATTTTTTTTATATAATCATAGTCGTCTTTTTTATCAATTTCTCTTTTCTTTAGTAAACATCTTGAGATGACATGAAAATTTATAAAATATTTTTTGATAATTTAATTTACGTTATTTAAATTAAATAATTTTTTCTGTCGGATTCATTAAAGCTTGATTATGATAACTGAATAATTCATTTAGAATTTTTTTTCAAAATATTTTAATTTCATCATTTATCTACTACATTAGATAATAACAATTGATTTTTCTTATTTAACGATACTAGAAAAATGCATTTAACAGAGTTTCGATAAGAAAAATTTCCTAAATAAGAAACTTGTCGTAAAGTTGAGAAGCTGCTAAATATTATTTAAATTTGTCAAAATGAACTAAATTGTAATAAAATTTTGAATTATATTGAATTGTACCTAATAATATTAGATGAATTACAAGCTTTTTAATCAAGATAAAAAATTTATAATTTTTAGTTCTAAAAAATTATTTACCTAAATCTTTCATAATGATTTTTTAAGTATATATAATCACAAAGTTATATGGAAATTTTTAAATAAAATTAAAATATTACACCTACATATTCTTACTACCACCATAATGAAAGAAAATCCATAAAATGTCTATTAAGAGATTAATAGTTAAATTTCGTTTTAAGAGATTCATGAATCATAAGTCTTTATTCTAGAATAGTAAAAGATGTCCATGTTTTCACAAGAAAGCCTAGATAATTAACATTAAATTAGTATTATCCTTTATCATATCTAAGTCCTTGCTCAAAATAATATTATTTTGTTTGATGAAATCCAATCAGAATAAGATAAACATTGTTCCAACGAATTACCTAACTTAATGTTAAAAAAACCAAGAAAGAAGAGAAAACAATAATTCAATTGTGATAATAAAAGAAAAAGAAGATCTTCAAAAAAATAGGTATAAATATATGCAATATTGTTTAGATATCAAAAATTAAGGGAATAAATACTTTCTCTTTCTAAGATGACAAAGCAATATTGCTTTATGTATTATAATTTGGTCCTAAATTCATGAAAATCATTAAGTTTTTTCCAACAAAAACTATAAGCATGATCAAGAATAGATATTATAAATTTTTAGGATACAGATGGGATTCAGTTTTAGGAGAGTATATATCCTTCTAATTTAGATCATATGGATATCTAAACTAACAAGAACATTAAATTAAAGAAGGAAATTAAAATAATGGTAAAGAAGAAACTCAAAGTTTCAGAAATTAAGAATTTAATAATTAGTACTTATTTTAGAGTTTTGATTTGTGAATATATATTTATTATTTGAAATACATTACCATAAAAAAATTGTTCAGTCATTATTATTTAAAATTTATATAAAAAATAGTATAATATATAATATCATAACCAAAAATATCTAACACTTGTTATAGAATGAGTGTAGCTTTAAATTATATAATATAATTTGTGAATCCATATTCTTTTANCAAAATGAACTAAATTGTAATAAAATTTTGAATTATATTGAATTGTACCTAATAATATTAGATGAATTACAAGCTTTTTAATCAAGATAAAAAATTTATAATTTTTAGTTCTAAAAAATTATTTACCTAAATCTTTCATAATGATTTTTTAAGTATATATAATCACAAAGTTATATGGAAATTTTTAAATAAAATTAAAATATTACACCTACATATTCTTACTACCACCATAATGAAAGAAAATCCATAAAATGTCTATTAAGAGATTAATAGTTAAATTTCGTTTTAAGAGATTCATGAATCATAAGTCTTTATTCTAGAATAGTAAAAGATGTCCATGTTTTCACAAGAAAGCCTAGATAATTAACATTAAATTAGTATTATCCTTTATCATATCTAAGTCCTTGCTCAAAATAATATTATTTTGTTTGATGAAATCCAATCAGAATAAGATAAACATTGTTCCAACGAATTACCTAACTTAATGTTAAAAAAACCAAGAAAGAAGAGAAAACAATAATTCAATTGTGATAATAAAAGAAAAAGAAGATCTTCAAAAAAATAGGTATAAATATATGCAATATTGTTTAGATATCAAAAATTAAGGGAATAAATACTTTCTCTTTCTAAGATGACAAAGCAATATTGCTTTATGTATTATAATTTGGTCCTAAATTCATGAAAATCATTAAGTTTTTTCCAACAAAAACTATAAGCATGATCAAGAATAGATATTATAAATTTTTAGGATACAGATGGGATTCAGTTTTAGGAGAGTATATATCCTTCTAATTTAGATCATATGGATATCTAAACTAACAAGAACATTAAATTAAAGAAGGAAATTAAAATAATGGTAAAGAAGAAACTCAAAGTTTCAGAAATTAAGAATTTAATAATTAGTACTTATTTTAGAGTTTTGATTTGTGAATATATATTTATTATTTGAAATACATTACCATAAAAAAATTGTTCAGTCATTATTATTTAAAATTTATATAAAAAATAGTATAATATATAATATCATAACCAAAAATATCTAACACTTGTTATAGAATGAGTGTAGCTTTAAATTATATAATATAATTTGTGAATCCATATTCTTTTATTCTAAATAAAATTTACCGCTAAATAAAATTTATCGCGAAGAATTATGAATTTGATTAAAAATAAAAAATAATTTCTTAGAATTAAATAATCATATTAATTTAAAAATATTGCAGATGATTAAACTTAAAAAAATAATAATTTTTTTAATCTGCTTTATTTTTTTTAAAAAGCTTTTTTTCACTTAATTATTCAAAGCCTAATGAATATATATTTATAAAGTAATATTTAAAAACCTATGATCTCATCTTTTGGTCGTTTATTCCTATCAAGAAATCTTGTACAAAATATTGAATTTATTAATAATATTATTTAATAATCCAAAAAAAAAATATACGATTAAATTTATTTTTTAATAAAGCTATTTCTTAAAATTAGATTTTTGATTCTCATGAGAACCGCTAAAGGACTATTATTAAGTAAAAGACAGATTCAAAATTATAAAGATATCTACTAAGCATCTTTAAATGACAGCAAGAAAGATTATTATTTCATTAATTAATAGCAATAGTTTATCCTTTTAAATAAAACTTTAAAGTTAGGTTAAATTCTTTAAAGTTTAGTGAAAAGCATTATTAATTATTAAGTATTTTGAGGAATATGAATAAAAAATAAATAGATATTATAGATGCTTATTGGAAATAAAGTAAAAGGAGGAAGAGAATGGATAAAATTTAATATGATGGATTTTTAAAGATAAAATTTTCAGTTCATGTAAATAAGAACAAGGAAAAGGATGCTAATAATTTGTGTGTAGCACAATTAACAGGTTCCAGTTCCACTTGCATTCCATCTGGCTGTACCTCCTGATGAAGCATAGCAATTAGATGAAGTTAAATTGATAAGGCTTTTATGTGCAGAGTTACATGATAATCCTTCTAAGTAACATAAATTAATCTCATAATTTTGATTTGGTGTACTTAAATAGAAATCACAATTATTAGTCTAAGCATATAAGGTAGAACAATTATATGGAGTACAAGATGAATTTCCATTTAAAGTTTACCAATAACAAGTATTCAGTAGCAATGAACATTAGATTTCTGTTGTAATCATGTTACAATTATTGATACCTAAACATGTTGTTTAAGTTTGATTCCATTAACAAATTCCATCAGTGCCAACAGAACCAAAACATTAATAAAATGTTTAATATTCACTACAAGAATTAAGAGTGGATGAACAATAGCCATTGTTAATTCCTGCACATAAAATAGATTAACTTAAACATTCTTATTAGGTATTTGCTTTTATAGTAGCACAAGTCGTATCAGTTTAATTTATATTTTGACAACTTGCTTTATTATTTGAAATATTCCAATAACAATTTTTACTAATTGCACATGAACCTTAATTTGTTAATTAAGTACAAACTTATTTTTGACATTTTGTAGTAGCAGTAGAATTCCAGAAACATTTTGGAGAAGATAATGCACAATCTGTATAATTGATTAAATCAGAACATGAGCAATCAGATTTGATATTCAATAAACTAGAGTAACGACAAGGTAAACATAATCCATTCGAAGCATTTAATGGTTCACTCCAATGATGAGTTCTTCCAGTTTAATTAAAACAAGTATTAATATCATATTTTAATGAATTATCATAAGCATAACATATTTTGGTATCAGAATTCCAAGAACAAATATTTAAGACATTTATATTTAAACTATTTTGAACAAAATTACAACTTTCTTTAGTTAAATAATTAGAACATGTTTTTTATTAACATTCATAAGTATTAGCATTCCAAATACAAGAATGAGCAAATTAATTGCATTATTATATTGAAGTTAATATTCCACATGAAGTTAAGTTCTAACATTCGTTTGTTGAAACATTATATATACAATATCCATCCTTACCAATTGAATTATAACAAATATTAGGTTCTTTTTAAAGTTCAGAACATGATAACATAGAAAATTAATTTAAACAGTTTTTTCCATTTGATCCTGGACAGAAAATTGATTATTATAAACAGGCTTATGAATTCTTACCTAAAATTGCACTACAACTACTAAAAACTGTACAAACAGAAGAAGCAATTGAAGTATTCCAATAGCAACCTTAAATTTAAGCACAAGTTTATTAATTGGTAATATTAATACATGTGTTTTATAAACAAGAACCAAATTAACCATTTTAACTTGGTTCCCAGATACAACCCGGAGAACTCATGCATTCCTATTATTATAATAACTATTTGCATTCACATTAATTACGATATATAAATTTTTATGAATTACATTCAGCACATATTCCTTGAATAGTATTTATAGGTGCCCATCTATAATGAAAATCAGTATTTTTTGCACAATCTTCAAGTGTTAATTAATTAGCATTTGTAGGTGTACAAGTTTGATCATCAATATTCCAGAAACATGGCTATATTGCAGAACCACTCATTGGATTATTTAAAATATAAGTACAATTTCCAGAACTGAAATTAGAACATTATTAAGCAACACATGTTTAACCTGTCCATAAACAGGCTCTATTTAAAAATTACATTTCACATTAAGTCTAAGTTTATACTTCTCCACAATTTGTTATTACTTTACACGATTATCCATTCCAATAACAAAGACCTTCACCTGCTAATGTAAAACCTTTTGCTGGTTAACATGTTTCTTAAGTCTCTAATGAACTACAAGAATATCCTCCTGGTATACATTATGGATTTAATTAGTTTGATGGTACACACTTTACATTAGCTTCTTAACATGTCTAATTAGCCGCTAACACTAAATCTTAACATTTTTTAAATGGGAAACAAAATTCTTATCCTGGTTATCCTGGTTAGTAGTAACATGAATAACTTAATTGGCATTATTATTAAGTCAAGTATTAACAAGATTTTTGTTCACAATATCCATTAAATGGATCCATTTCTATTTGTTGCCATTAGCAATCAGCTTTATTTGAACAATCTTTCTATTCTATCATCTATTAGCATGAACACTAAACATTAGGAATAAAATTTGCATTCCCTAATATACTAAATGCCACTATTATTAATATTATTGAAGTCATCATCTATTTTTTTTATTTAATATTAATATAATAAATTTCTAAACCATACTTCTTTTTCCATATCATTTCATTTTTTTAATAAATATATCGAGCATTTTTTATTTATACAAAAATTCACCCTCAAAATATGGTATAGTTTTTATATTTCTATAAATCTAAATAATTGTATTCTTATTTTTATTGGTAAACTATATATTATTTTCAATTTTTTTATTGATTAATATTTCGAATAATTTATGTGCTTCTAAAATTTAGTAAAAATTAAATATATTCATAAAACACACTTTCAATATTAATAGCAGATGATACTAATTTATTTTATCATCTGTTATTAATATTTGTATGATAGTTCTAATTTATATTTAATAATTAAAAGATCATTTCTTAAATTTATTAAAAGTTTGATTTTTCTCTTTTTGTTAAGACATTTTTATAATAAATTTAATATCTAAATTTATTATTCAAAAAAAATAAAGTTTTCTTATGTATTAGAAAAATTAAGAAGAATTAAAAAATTTTTCAAAAGTTTTAATTAGGTAATGTCTTACTGATATTCCTTTTTATATACTATCTACTATTTAAATGATATAAATTCTCTTTCAATTTAATTATTAAATATTCTTTACTAACTGAATAGGGTTGACAAAAATTAATAATCGATAATTTTATTTTTTTTTAAATTAAAATTGTCATACCCACCAAAGTTTGCGATTTATAAGCTTTTAACAAATATTACTTAATTTTATTTATATTTGAATGTAATAAACAAAATCTTTTGATGATATTTCATTATCTCGATATTCAGAAGAAAATGGTGAAACATCTAATGAAAATTAGCCAATACTCATACATTTAGATGATCCACTACCATCTTAAACTGATTTTTTTGATTTAGTTCTATAAACTCTTCCAAAAACAAAAAAAAGAATCGCAAGAAGAAAAAAATGTGATTTTCACACTAAGAAAAGAAAAAAAGTAAACAAAAAAAATCTAATTTTTGAAAATCACAGTCCATTTACAATTCAGGAAGATGAAAAAATCCTTAACCTAGTGATAGAGCATGGTCCAAGATTTTAAATAATTTCTAAGTTTTTTTTGGATAGAAGTTAAAATGCTGTCAAAAATCGATATTATAAATTTTTACGATACCATTGGGACTTAATCCTTGGAGAGTAAGATTTCTTATATATTTTATAGTAATTATTAACACCTTAATTATGTAAATGAAGAAGAGAGTGCTTAACATGAAATAAATGAAGAATTAACAAATTTTTTAGATAGCATGAATCTTTTTCCTGAGGTAACAAATATAATAAGAAACTTCATTACTCAAGTTGACAATCATTTTAGATGAAATATGAGCTTTATATTTATGTTTTATTCATGTGTTGAATCAATGATTACGACTCAAATTATATTTCAATATATTAAAAAAGTAAAGAAACGCATTCAGAATAGTTTACCTGATCGAGATGTTATATGCAAGTTGTTTTTTTTTTGTTAAAAAATTCTTTCATCTTTATTGTAGAAGTTGAAAAATCATTTCCAATACTTTTTACAATCACCAGAAACTGAACTTAAGATTAAGGTAATTTTAAATATAAGAATAAATTTAAGGAAACATTTTTAACAAATAAGAAAATTTTGATTGATTAAGTTAGCTTGATTGTTATCAGATGGAATGTTATAGAAACTGAATCATTAGGAATGTATACTGAATCAATATATTATCTATAAGCTTTTGTATTAAATTATTACTAAAAATAATTTAAATTAATTAAATAAAGTATTGATGATTAATTAATTCATCTAAAACAAAATTTGAAATATATTTTACTTAATAGATAGTGATGCATAATTAAATTAAAATCAATACTCTTTGTTTAACAAAATCCTTAAATTTGGAGTTCTAGGAGATACAATTGAAGATACAAAAGGAGTTTGAGCATTTAATTAAGGTAGATGTTCATATCCTAGAAATTGTGCTATGATTATAGATGATATTTACATTAAACTTATTCAGAATGTAAAATAGATTAATCTTCAAGAGTTTCTAGTTGATTAGACTTGAGATAATTTTCCAAATTTTCATCTGGAATAAATGGAGAAATAATTAGTTTTTTTTCATAATCAGTCCACTTGATATCTTTAAACCATGGATGAAGTTTAACTTCATCAGGTCCATTACATCCCAATCTTTATTAAGGTTTTCTTTGCATTAAAGCATTAGTAAAAGAAATAGCTTCATTACTCCATCCTTAAGGAACCTCAGTAATAACAGCTTATTTAGCAATAATTTAATCTCTAATTTCTTATCTACTTTTTCCATTATATGGTCTTTTTCCAAGCTAAGATTAAAAAAAATGTTTACAATACATTCGTGCATTATAATTCCTAAAGCATAATAATCAACAGCTACTCCATGATTTTATCTACACATTACTTCTGGAGCCATATAACCAGGTGTACCACTAGTTTCATGACTATTTTATGGTTTCCATATTCTTGCAATTCCAAAATCTGTAATTCTTAAATACCCTGAACTATCAAATACTAAGTTTTCAGGTTTAATATCTCTATGAATTATTCCATTAGAATGTATATAGTCTAATCCAATTAATATACAAATAGCTATATGCTTTGTAATTGTTTCAGAGAATTTTCTAAATTTGCATAAATGAAATCTCAAATCTCCCCCAGCCAAAAAATCCATTGCTAAATACAACGAACAACGATCTTAAAAGGCACTTATTATATTTATTATAAATCTAAAACTATTCAGGTATAATTATTACTCATGTCTCAAAGTTGATAAAATCTATAATTCATTCATAACTGAACTCACACTCTTTTTCTATATAACTCTTCTTATATTTTTAATTTTGTACCTAACTTTTGACATTACTTTTAGAGCTACAACCACATTTCGAGTTTTTATAAGTCTTGCTTTATAAACTTTACCAAATCCTCCTTAACCTACAACTGATAATAGTTCGAAATTCTATAATGTTATTTCTAAATATATAATCAATAATACATGAATCATCACTTGATCCTCTAAATTTAAACTCACAACCTCCCATTATTATATAAATATAATTAATATCATAATATGAATTACATTTAAAATACAAATCATTTTCATTAGTTGTTTCTTATCAAAATAATTGAGCGTTTTTTATTTTATTTTCTATTTTCTTCATTATATCCTATATTAATCCATTATTAACTTTTAATTCAAAAATTAACATCTTTAGATCGATCTAACAATTTTCAATAACGCTTAAAGACAATAACATGAAATTTATAATCAAATGTTATGTAATCAAAATGAAGTATTGGTTTCCTTCTTTTACACCATTTAATAACAGTTAAGAATACTTGTAATAATGTGTTAATTACAAAAGATAAAAAAAATATTACAAAAATAGATTTAAATAGATAAATTGTATGAAATTAGTTTATTAAAATTACTTTTAATTAATACTAGATGATGGATTTAAAGTAAGATAAATAATACGATAGTGAATTCTTTAAGATTAATTAAATCAAATCACAGCTTTAAACATAATCATCTTATATTAGATATATCAAGGTAGTTAGAATATTTATTTAAACCAGGAATATTATCTTTATATATTTGATAAATATAGGATGAGTATGTTATTAATTTACATTATTATATAATAGCTCTCTTATTAATTATGGATATCTTTAACATTCTGTTTTCTTTCAAAATTTATATTATATCTAAATAAACATTCATCTTAATTCAGTAATTAATTTTTTCAATATATGGATCAAGATTTAAAAGAACTTTTGTATTCTGAAGTCATAAAGTAAACTTTAAGAATTGAGAAAGTATATTAAATAATTCTATTCATATTAGTGAAGTATTTATTTCAATTTTTAATCAAAACAAAATTTGACAAGAAATATTAAATTATTTTCTATTAAATTTAGTCTAATAGAATAAAACAACTAAATAAAAATCAAATACTATTTACTAGAATTAATTATGTTGGAAAAATGACAAATAATACAAAATTAGAAGATACGTTCATTGAATCAGGCAAAGAGGATTAAGGAGAACTATCTTATATAATACAAAATATCTGTTCTAAATAAACTTCTATAATTTTGCTAGAGCCTATTATATCAGATGAAACATATCTATAAAAGGATATAATTGCTTAGCTAGGAAGTTTAATAGCCGAATATACAGAATTCCTTTTATTTGAATATAATTCTAGAATCCCAGAAGATAATATATGTATAATCAAAAATAAGAATTAAAATTATCAATCAACAATGAGGGAAGAATTGATGAAAAGTGTAAAACAAAAAAGTTTTGGAATTTTTCTTAAATTTAATTGCTCAATAAATAATGAAAGACTAAATCAGAAAATAAAGATTGGAAAGAATTTAATCAATTTTTTAAAAAAATAATTAAAAAATAATCTTGTCGAATCTACAGGTTAATGGTTAAATATATTCATGAATAAATTGAAGGATTATTAACAATACTAAATTAGAACTTGATCAATCTGAAAGAAAAATGAATATTTCATTTATCTGCAAAAAAAAATGATTTGGATTTGATTTCAGTAAAATAATGATTTATTTATTTCTTTATTGTTTTCAAAGTCATTATTTATGAGATTGATAAAAATTATTAACTTTGCATTAATATATAAGTTCAAATACTCAATAGAATGCTGATTAGCTTTTAGAATAATCTAAAAAAAAGAATGATTACATAATATATTTTTATTTAGTGAATCATAAAAAAATGGTTTTTTAAATCTTTAAGAAATAGAAATCTATGAACCAATTACTTTTGAGACTTATTCTGATTGATTAAACAAAAAAGTAGGGAAAATAATCTCCAAATTTAATTCCAGATTTATGTTCTAAACAAACTTAATTCAATTCTGCCTTATTCCATATTAAATTAAGCATTTTTTAGATTTAGAAAGCTTTAAAAATGTTTATTTAACTTTCTTACTCAAATTTCTATCAATTAAATTATTATTAATAGAATTTTAATTTGATACCCATAAAAAATGAAATTAATTATTTTTTTATTATACCAAACATGTTACAGTTTAGTTTTAGTTTGTTTTTAAAAATAAAAAAATTATGAGGAATATATTGGATATTCTTTTTTTATCAATATCTATATTAATAAAATAATATTATATACTTAAAAATATATGAATGAATGATTATTAATATTTTTATATATAAATAATAAGAAATAAAATTTTAAATATTTTTGTATTGATATTGAATAATGATGAATGATCATTCAAATAAAGGCAACCAAGATAATTAATGACACGATTGATAGAATCCAATTGGAAGCACATTATTGACAGGTATTTGTGACCCAATGATAAGAACCAAAAGTAACATCATTACATGTCTATTCATTCAAATGAGTTGTATCGATTGCATTTGTACATTTATTATCAGCACCCCATTTACATAATATTGCTTTATTATTATCAATTTTTGGTATAGATGTGCATAGAGCTTAAGTTGTTAAATCAGAACAGGATCTATTTACACATTGTTATCCATCTTTTTTACAATATTTAGGATCACACATTGAATTAAATCCATCAGCATCTCTACATGTCTTCAATTCAAATGCATAACATTTACCATCACTTTTCCATTAACATTTGGCAGTTGCAGTTGCCTCTCCTTTACATGTAGCTTCAGTCACAAATTTAGAACAATTAACATATACTTTATTTTCACATTAAAATCCAGTAGCCACAACTAAATGTTTTTATCTTAGAGTTGTTACACTAACTCCTTTAGCTTAACATCTTTCATCATTTTCACCTCTCAAAACATTGCATCTTTCAGCCTTGGATACAATAAAATCTGAACATTAAGTAAACTCAATGCATTTATTGTCTTTCCAACCACATCCAGCAAAATTTGAACAGCTTTCTTCATTTGGCATATCTTCACACTCTTTCTTTTCATCAATGCATTTTCCACCCTTCCATTAACAATCTCCTGAACATTTATCTTCTGTTGTGTAATCTTTGCATTCTTTTTCTTAGCAAGATGTTTCGCTCCACTTACAATCATACCATTTATCACACTCTGACTTGATAAATGATGGACATGAGCATCTTTTTTCTTTATTGACGGTAATATCTGCAGCCACAATGCCAAATAAGACAACTATAAATACCAATTGGATATTTTTCATTATTTAAAATTAAAGATATTTTTCTTTTTATTACGCACTTAAACAATAAAATTTATATACTAATAGTAAATAAAATTTAAATCCTCATCTTTTACTTTCTCAAATAAAACTTAAGTTTCTTTAAATTGGATTCTATTGATTANTGATATTGAATAATGATGAATGATCATTCAAATAAAGGCAACCAAGATAATTAATGACACGATTGATAGAATCCAATTGGAAGCACATTATTGACAGGTATTTGTGACCCAATGATAAGAACCAAAAGTAACATCATTACATGTCTATTCATTCAAATGAGTTGTATCGATTGCATTTGTACATTTATTATCAGCACCCCATTTACATAATATTGCTTTATTATTATCAATTTTTGGTATAGATGTGCATAGAGCTTAAGTTGTTAAATCAGAACAGGATCTATTTACACATTGTTATCCATCTTTTTTACAATATTTAGGATCACACATTGAATTAAATCCATCAGCATCTCTACATGTCTTCAATTCAAATGCATAACATTTACCATCACTTTTCCATTAACATTTGGCAGTTGCAGTTGCCTCTCCTTTACATGTAGCTTCAGTCACAAATTTAGAACAATTAACATATACTTTATTTTCACATTAAAATCCAGTAGCCACAACTAAATGTTTTTATCTTAGAGTTGTTACACTAACTCCTTTAGCTTAACATCTTTCATCATTTTCACCTCTCAAAACATTGCATCTTTCAGCCTTGGATACAATAAAATCTGAACATTAAGTAAACTCAATGCATTTATTGTCTTTCCAACCACATCCAGCAAAATTTGAACAGCTTTCTTCATTTGGCATATCTTCACACTCTTTCTTTTCATCAATGCATTTTCCACCCTTCCATTAACAATCTCCTGAACATTTATCTTCTGTTGTGTAATCTTTGCATTCTTTTTCTTAGCAAGATGTTTCGCTCCACTTACAATCATACCATTTATCACACTCTGACTTGATAAATGATGGACATGAGCATCTTTTTTCTTTATTGACGGTAATATCTGCAGCCACAATGCCAAATAAGACAACTATAAATACCAATTGGATATTTTTCATTATTTAAAATTAAAGATATTTTTCTTTTTATTACGCACTTAAACAATAAAATTTATATACTAATAGTAAATAAAATTTAAATCCTCATCTTTTACTTTCTCAAATAAAACTTAAGTTTCTTTAAATTGGATTCTATTGATTATATATTTACAAAATCTCTTTAAATTCTTATAAAAGTATCTTAAAAATCAATTTTTTATCATTCTATTAGTTTTTATTTCAAACTTATTTTATTTTAGAATCAGTTGTTTTAATTAAATTTATATATTTTATATAATTTATGAAAGCTCTAACACCTAAAGTCATCAAAGAAAGCTGTTGTAATTAAATTAATCTATTTTAGATGCAAAATATTCTTAATTATCAGATGAATGTAATAATAAACCTGAAAAATTAAGAGCTCTTTTAAAATAACTAAATGAAGAAGTTGGAACGTATTTATAAAAAAAAAAACCAAATAAAAGTATACAATAAATTTAAACAAGAATAATTTTAGTTTCCTAATAGAGAAGTCTTAATCAAAGAATAATTAAATAATATTGAAATTTTGAAAAGATTAAAAATTTAATTTCATTAATAACAGAAAAGATTAACTATTTTGGAATAAAAAACAATGAGATTAGATTTAGAAAATAAAATCTCTTAATGCGAAGAAAATATAAAAATGCTTTCATAATAAATAGAAGCTTAAAAAAAAATTACTTAACGATAAGGAAAGGAAATCACTCAAATTGAAGAACAAAACGGTGTTTCTTCTCTTCAAAATGAAATGTAATTGAATTTGAATTATATAGCAATAAAGCCGATAAATAGAAAAATCCATATAAGAATATCAATTAAAAAATTATTAGTTGTATGAATTAATTGAAAATGAATAAAAGAATTCATAATAATTTCAAGAGTACTAGACTAAAGTAAGAGATAAAGTGATTTTTAAAGAATAATAAAGTGCTGCTATTTTAGAATAAGATCCTGAAATAGAATAACAATATTTTAAAATTTAGCTACAAATATAAAATCAGGAAAGGCATAAAAAAATTATTGAGGAGAAGTATTAGGCTGATCTTAAGTTGTTTAAATAAGATATCAATCATAAATCAAAATAATTAGTAGAATTAGAAAATTGTATTAGTAAAATTCATTTGGAAATAATATAAATAAATGAATAATGTTAAAGATTTAAAGATTTTCAAATGAAAAGATCATCACAAATTAGATAAAGAATAAAAAAATCTTAATATTTAAATTAATAATCTTTTCAAGGCTAAGATGATGATTAATCAGACAATAATTTATATCTTTTGTCTAAAAGCTTCACAAGTCCAAAATATATTGATAATTCCGTCTAACATAATGTAGAAACTGACATTGAATAAAAAAATCATAAAAAATTTTCAACTATTTTAGAAGAAATTAATGATGGAAAATTAGAATAAAATGTTCCAAATAAAGAGATTTCAAAAGAAGATACTCTCTAAATATAATCTGAGATATAAAATGAGGAAAAAAAAATTTAAACTGATACTTAAACTCATGAAATTTAAAAGAAATAATAAGAATCTCATCAAATTGAATAATAAATATAACCTGAATGAGTAGTAAATATTTTATATTTTAAAATTTTATTTTCAAAGTTTCTGAAAAATCAAACCCTATTTAAATGAGTGATATTGCTAAAACTTATCTATTAAACACTTTGTTAAATATTTTTCAAATTCTACAAGCCTATTATATCTCAAGAACTCTCCTATCTTTTATTATATTTTTAGATAATTCTTGTTATCATTATTAGTATGCATAAGATTATTAATTATCATAATTTTTCTAAACATGAAAAATAATGTTTGATGTTGAAAATTTTTTATAAAATAATATTCATTCTTTATATTACTATTTCTATAAAATTGATTCTAAAAATACTTATTTTAGTTAGAGTTATTTTCAATTTACATTTAATGTAGTCCCAAAATTGTTTGCTATATTATTTAAATTATAATAAAGTTACTTGTTATTAATTCGAAAAGCTTTATCATATTAAGAATTTTAAAAAATTTTCAATGAGCCTTAATATTTTAAAAACTTATTTCCTCTGCCATTCATTATTAATTTTTATTCTATTTTTTTGGGAAAATGATTTAAAAGATTATATTTTAGCTAAATATTTCTCGGTTCTTCTCTTAATTTTAATATTCTATGTCGTAAAATACATACTAATTAAATATTATAAACTTTACCATATAGAAGATAATTTATTTCATTTAGTATTAAAATAAATCTTTTATAATTAATTCCAGTTATTTATGATCTGATTTTATTCATATTTATTGATTTAGAAAAATAGTAAACCTGATATTGACATATCTTTAAAAGAAATCAATGCAAGATTTGAGTTAATTAAATAATATTTATAAATGGGTTAAATTTGCAAATCTGTTTAATTAGATCAGCATCTTAATGCAATTGAAACTATTCAAAGTTCGATACCAAATGATGAAGGGGAGTTTTGTAAACCTGAAAATTTCTATAAATTTAATAAATTTATCGAAGAAAGACATAGAAATTCTAATTCAACAATTGATCCTCTAATCAATGGAAATATTAATGATAATTTGATTAATAAAGAGAATGAATCATTTATAGTTGAAGAGTAAGTTAAATTAATAGAAAAAGAAGAGTATCAAAATCAAATTCCTAGAAATTAGAAGTCTTGTATTAAGAGTAAAAATAAAGATTTGAAATAAAATTTAAAAAACAAAAAAAAAGTATCGTTTAATGACTTTGAGTTTTTTAATTTTTCTGTTAATCCAAAATTGAGCTCTTCATCTTTAGAAATAATATGAAACAAAGTATTTAAATAATGACTTTTCCTTATGATTTATTATTAAAAATAGATTGAATTAATTTTATTAAGCCATATTAAAATAATATTGTCTGACTTTAATAAACATTAACATTAGAATAAGCAGCATAAAAAATAATTAAATAATAATATATTTTATGAAAATTCTGGAAATGATATAAAAATGAAATATAATTATTAATTATTTATAAAAACCATATTACAGTTTAAAAATTAAAAATCGCATCCTGTTTGATTTGAATTTGAATATAGAATTAATTTAATTCCAAATACAATAGAATGATTAAGATTTAACTTAAAATGGAAAAATATTATATGTATTATTTCTAATTAATAATATTCTCATTTAAGAGCATCACCTAATTTTGATCCTCCAGGTATAGATACAAAACTCGAAGGAGAAAATTAAAAGAAATAATTAGGATCAAAGTTTTAAGGAACTTCTTGAAATACATACATCATTTCTACTTGATACTGATCTTTGTTCACATTTTAGGATCCATCAACTTAAGCTTATTACTATAGTTGGCTTATTGGTATTAATTAAGGATAGAAGTAAGGATTAGCTATGTAGGTAGAATTTGGTTAAAATGGGACTTATGCTTAGGGTTGTGAATTTGCTTATTCTTAATAAGGGTAAGTTTACATTTAAATTGGTAATAATTAAGAAAATTAAGAATTTTTATCTTGATCGTTCTAGTCTTTGTTTTAATTTATTAATTCTTATTAATTTTAATATTATCCTTCTACACCTGGTATAAGTTTATAACAATCTTTAAGACTAACAAATTATTTACCTTATATATTTTGAATGTAAAATTATTACTATTTCATTTGGTCAATAATTGGAACTTAATATTGATTTTAATTATAAGTTATCAAATTTTATCCTTATTATTAATTTTAAATTTCTGCACCTTGCTATTAGTTAATTACTTCTTATCCTTTTTATTAAAATTATCTTGATTAATGATGGCTCTATTCATGAGAAGAATCATACTATTTTTTTTATTTATATATTAGATCTACTTATGTATTCTATTTTTTTTCTTTTTATAGTTTACTTAATTCTTATAAAGATCTAAGTTCCCTATTTTTAGTTCTATTTCTTTCTTTTCTATCTTATAAATTAAATGCTTAAATACGCTTTTCTTTTTACTACTATCTTTATTTTTCTTTTAATTTTTATGCTTCCAATTTTTATTATTTTTCAATTTCTTGTTGTTTATCTATCTCTTTTTATCTAATTCTTATTTTTTCTATTTCTAATTCTATTTCTTATTCTTTTTGTCTATCTATTTCTTTTTACATATCATATTCTTTTTATTTTTATTTTCTTAGATCTCGCTTTCTTTCTCTTTCTTCTCTTTCTTCTCTTTTTTCTCTTTTTTCTCTTTTTTATTCTGATGACAATTATTTTTATTTACTTTTTTCATTTTATTTTTCTTTTTATAAAGATTCCTCTAAAACTTTTTCATCCTTATTTATATCTGGCAAGTCATTTCTGGATTAATTTAAATTATCTTTTTTATTATTCTTATCTTAATCAGATTAAGTATCTTTATGTGATTCAAATATTAAATTATTTTATCCACTCTTATTTTCTTATATAATTTGTTAATTTATGTCTTTTTATTCTTTTTTTAAGTATTATTGAAAATCAAATTGATTTTCATTATTTGGATTTTATTTTGGTTTTTCTGGTGAATCTAAGACAATTATATTAGAGTTTTTATCATCATTTATTTTCTTAATACCCATTTCAAAAGAAAGAGTTTTTTATTTTTCAATTCTTGTCATTTTATTTTTTGGAGACACATTTTATTATTCATTTAAGGTTTATTCTGGTTAAATTTGTTATTATTATTATTTTTCTTCTAGTATCTATTAAATTTATGGAATTTATTGAACATCTTTCTCTTTATCTTATTGATTTTCAATCTATAGAACTTCCTTTCTTTATTATTATTTAAACTTAATTAAAATCTTTTATTAATTACCAATTCCTTACCAGAACTTTTAATCACTTAATTACTTTTGATTATTTGATTTTTTTTCTACTTCAATTTTAGAAAGTAATTCCTTAAAAGTAATAATTTTAGCCTTATTTATGAATTTAGATTCATCTTCTTCAACCTTTGTATCTATTAAATTTTTTAGACTGACAATAATTTTATCTTTTTAAATTTTTTGTTAATTTATTTATTCTTTAGTTTATTCAATAGAAAGATCTAAATTTTCAGTTTTAATTTCGTCTCTCTCTTATCTGTAATCTTCTTCAACATAAGTGTTTATTAAGTTATCCAAATTAATGTAAATTTTTATTTATATTTATTTGTCTTCCTTACAACTAAATTAGACCATTTATGTTTATAAAGTTAGAATTTGATTATTAAGTTAAGCAAGTTTTTCTAATTATTTTATTTATTTTTTTTTTTAATTTTTTTTTACAATATCTAGAAGTTTATTTGAATTCTATGAACCCAACTATAATTTTGTTCTTCTTATCCTTTTGTTTTTAATAATAGTTATTGTTGGAAAAGGATTATTTTTTTTATGAAATCCTTTAAGCTAAGTAAGATTTCTTGTTGGTATTTATTCAAGGATTTGTTTAAAAAGTTCTTTCGTTTTATTTGATCGACATTCTTCTTCATGTTCTTAACAATTTTATAAATATATTTCTCGTTCTTTTTATGTCCAAGGTCCTCTTTTAAGCAAAGTTTTTCCATCTGGTCCAAATTCAAGAGGATAAGCCTTCTTAATGTAATGCTTTTTTTCTTTTATTTATTTTAATCTTTTAAGCTTTTTTTCTGGAAATTGATATGTTCGAAGGAGCTCATATAACTTATTATTTTCCATTAAGAGAATTAAACTTATTAATTTATAATTATTATTATATTAATTTCTAAATAAATTATGTTCTATCTTGTAAAATTTAAATTATCAATAATTCGCTCTTTATAGATTGAATATGTAATATTGTGTAAATATTTGTCTATAAATATAATATTTAATAATTCTGATATTAAGTTTCTAAAGAAAACTAGTAGCTTCAATATTTATATAATATTATTTATATTTGATATATATTTTTGATCATAAAATGGTAATGTTTCCATTGTTAAGACCATTGTGTTCACCGACAATATGAGTGTCTGAATAAGGAACAATAGGCTCCTTGAAATTTGGATTCTTCTAAATTGCTTATTTAGTGAGATTTTTCCACTAAATTAAATAAAATAATTTACCTTTTCTTCTATTTTTTATCTGTCTTTTTTTTGATTTTTAGCATCTTAAATGATATATAAATATTTTGGATCTTTATTATTTAAAGCTTTATCAAATGCTTGATAATCAATTTCTTTCAAAATAGTTTTCAATGCATTAAGTGACTCTTATAAAACTTTATGCCAGTGTGTATCTGCAATTTAAGCAATTACAGGAACTAATAGAGGGAATGTAAATGGCTTATAGCTTTTAAGAATAGTCAAAAAGTAATCATTTTCAAAAAAACACATAGCTCTATCAGCCACTTATAAATGTGGTCCTGCTATACATTTAATCAATCGTTTAAATAATTTAGGAATTAATGGTTCTAATTTAGAAATTTCACAAACTTCCAATACTTCCAATAATTCATTTAAAAACATAACTTCTTTAGCTGAATTAGCAAATGGCCAATATCTTAATAATCCTTCAACTAAAAATGTTGCTAAAGTTGGATCTTTAGATAAGAATAGCATAGAACATCTTAATAATTGTTCATGATAAAATTAACAAGTTTAAACTTTATGTAATGGTATTATAACAGTTTTAAAAAAGATAACATGTTCTTCTCTAAGTGGTACTGCAAATCCACTAATAATACTAGCTAATATATCTAATAATTCAGCTGCTCCATTAAATTTGTATGTTTCATGAATTAAAGTATAAAAACAATCATTTATAGCTTTTCTTATCATTTTTCTTCTAGGTACTAATTTAGCATAAAGTCTATGTAAAATGTTCTTTAAATATTCTCTTTCTCGAGGTTCTTCAGAATCAAACAATTCCAAAAATTCTTATATAAATGAATGAGTAATAAAAATCTTTAAATATTATAAAAGAAATACTTTTAGTGATTTTACATCTGGCTGTTCATTAACAATTAATTATAAAAAATATTCATATACTGGTTGCAAATGAGTCCATGCAGGATCTATTAATTACTATTTATTTTTATTTTTATTTTACATCATCATCTTCCATTCCTATTTCTCCATTAGTTGCTGTTTTTTTTAAAATAGGGAGAGGTCTAAATATATTCTTTTCTATCATTTCTATAATTAAATCTAAATGAGGAACAACTAAATTCACTACAAAGTTAGGCTCTTTTAATAAATCAAATAATTCTTGTAAATATTATGATCGTTCTTATTTCTCCTTAACATTTTTAGTATCATCGTTAAAATCATATGGTTATGAACAAAAATGTATTTTCTTTAAAAATTAATCTCTAATTTCTTTAGGAACATGCTTTGGATCCGTAACTCTAGCCATGTTTTGAATAATAGGTTAAGCAGGCTAAAATTTAAACATATTTATACTCTTTATTAATTACTAGTTGCTGCTGGTTAAGGTTATTATCGTGCAGCTGGAGCTTATTTTGAACTTGTTGGCTTATTATTCATTATTTATATTTATTTTTTCTAAATAGATGTATTTAAATTTTTATATTTAGATTTATTTTATATATTTATATTGATCCTATTCATATTTGAGAATTTTATATTTATTCATTCCTATTTTATTATTAATACAACTTATTAAGTGAAATATATACTACTAACTTATCCTTACATAAATTTATAATTTATATCATCTTTTCTAAATTTCAAATATTTTCTGTACCTTATTGTTCTCTTTTGAATTTAAATACCTCATTTCTATGAACTAAATTCTTATAATTATTTCAACTAAAAATATTAAAATCATGTTACATTTGATTTACGATTTTTTTTATATTTTTCATAAAAATAGCACGTATTAATAATAATGATTAGAACAACAGAATTTTCCCAAAATTCATTATTTCCTCTTATTTCTCTATTTAACTTAATATATTCAATGTTAACTAGTCCAAAAGTTGTTCTTAAGCAATAACATAATAAAGTAATCAACAATTTTTACTATATACTTCAATTCTGATAATGATTAGAATAAATTATTCTTAAATATATTACTAAACAAAGACTCTATCAAATATTCAAAATATAAGAATAACAATATGGCTCTTTAGATGGGAATGATTAAAATTATTCTCTGTATTGAATTTTTTACTACGATCTATTTTTAGTTTTTTCCCTTCTTAAAATTAAGAATCAAATGTATTTAGAGTTATGATAGAAAATGTACTTTTTATTGATATAAGGTTTTGATGGAAAAAATAAAATAGAAATGCTTAAGGATAAAATACTACTATAAATTTACATAGTAATGAATAGAAAGAGTATTGGAAAGAGTTTAAAAAAAATAAAAAAAGTAATAAATTAAATTATTAAAAAGGTTAAATAATCAAAAATGCGTTTAATTTTAAAATAAAAATATTTGATAAAAAATAATTAATATGATTTACCTGTCGACATTCAAATCCAAATTTAAATAAAATTAAAAAAATTATTATAATAAAATGACTAATAATAATCTTCTACTCTTAGGATTGATATTGATAACTTTGAATGGATTTAGTATAGATATATCTGGAAAGGATTGTCCTTGTGATACTTACACAACTCAACTAGATTGTAATTCTGCTTCTGCATGTGAATGGTCAGACTCAAAATGTGTTGTTGTGGATTGCTCTACTAAATCTACTATTTTATTATGTAATGTTGCAAACTCTGTCTGTGCATATAATTAATCTAATGAATGTAAAACTTTTACATCTTGTTCTGATTATAAATATTAAGATGAAGCCACATGTCTAACGATTGGATGTTAAGCTGATTAAAAAGGAACAGATGGCTTATATCAATGTAAAGATATTACATCAATTCTAAAATGTTCAGAATTGAAAACAGATTCTGAATGCACTAATCATCATTGTTTTTGGAATAATGAATAAACTTGTGTGGCACCAACTTGTTCTTAATAAACAACAATTACAGATTGTACAGCTATTAGATCTGATATTGCTACTACCTGGTAAATATGTTAATGGACACCTGGAACTAGTACTTGTTCTGATGCCACTGGATTAACATAAACGAATTGTGCTGTACTTACAAGAGGATCTTATTATTGGAATTCAGATTCTAGTGCTTGTGAAGTTTGTAAAGACTTATCCAATTATTCAAACCTTATTCCTTTTGGATTAGCATTCCTTATCTTAATTATATGAGTTCATTATCATATCAAATATAATTTCATTTATATTAGCAAAAATTTTAATTTTGTTAAGTTATAAACCTTTAATAAAGAAAAAAATATAATATGATCATTTAATCATTAAATATACATCATTTTTTCAAAAAATTATACATTCTTTGCATTATTTACAATTTTATGAATTATTCTAAGGCTTAAGGCTATCCTATATGTATTTTCTAATGAACTCTATATATTTAGGCCAAATGGAATCTCCTTTACATTAATAATTCTTTTTACTATATGATTTGATTTCTGAAATATTTATGAATAGTTTAGCTGCTGTAGATAGTTCAACAGCAAGTAATACACTTTCATCTATCAAGTCAAAATATCTATGATACAAATTGATAATCTCTCTTTCATTATATGGCTCTTGTTTTTTTACTATCTCATATAATGCATTAGTTTTTTAAAGATAATTAAATGCTAAGATCTATCTTCCTATTTTAATTAAAAATATTTACCCTACACTACCTTTCAAAACAAAACAAGCCTTTTCCATTCTTTTTTAATCTAACAACTATATTGCTAAATACAACTCTTGTATCTGTTTTTTAAATGTCATATTTATAAACTTAGAGATTATTGACAAATAAATTTCTTCACTTCCATATTCAATTTTACCTTATTCATAATTTATAGTTTTGTAATCCATTTAATTAAATATCATTTACTTTACAATCTAATTTATAAGTTTAAATCTCTTAACACATAAACATCTTATTTCATACAGATACTATCTAAAATACAAACAAAATTTTACTCTTATTTTTCCTAAAAACAAATACTACTTTTCATAAAAATAATAAACTCAAATAAAATATGGTTTCTTCCATTTTAATTAAATTTCTTATTCACATGTTAAATGAATGAATGAATGAATGACTGAAGTTTTTCTCAACAAAATCATTATTATTATCTAAAAAATTGTTAATTGGGTATTATTTTTTTATAATTCTATGATCAATTATTATCCATTTTTTCTTAATAAATCTTTTAGTATTATATAAAATTTTCCTTGCTAACTCAGTAATGAAAATAAGATTTAACATTATAAGTCTAAAAGAATTTAAAAGATCTAAATCAAAAAATAAAAATTTTGAAAATTAAATCTAAACAACTATTGAAATTAAAAAAATTCACTGGATAGTATTTTCTAATGATTTATTCGATTTTATAAAGATATTATTTTCTAATACATATTTTTATGAAGTTTTTTAATTTTTCAATTTATCTAAAATAGATAATATATTATCAAATCTTGAATAAATGGATTGCTAATTCATATATATTTGTAAATCATAAAGTGATAATAATATAATAATAAACCTTTCTCATCTTAATTTTATAGAATATTTTATAAATACATTTTAATCATTAAAATTATCTTATTATTAAAAGTAAAAATTATTTTTTTACAGCATTTCTTTAATGAATAATAGTTTAATGTTAACCTGTCGATACAGTTTGCATAATAATGAACAAATAAGTGGATTTTGCCCTTTTCCTAATTGTACTCATTTTCGTCTATTTTGTGTTAATTGTTTACTTGAATATCATTGTGGGCATGCAGGTGAATGTAAAAAGCTGAATGAATATTCTTAATGGGCTGAAACATTTAAATAAATAAATCATGAAAATACAACTAAACTAGATTCAATTCAAGAAATTATCACTGTTTTAAAAGCATTTAAAGAGTGGTATGAAGAATAATATAATACTTAAATTGATGATCAAACCTTAAATATTTAAAAATTTCAATAAAAAATAACAAACTTGGTAAAAATACAATAAATAACCAATATTATTGATTAATCTATTAAGCCCTAATTTGAAAAATTAAAAATGTACTTAGAATATATTATGAGTCAAAATAATATTACGAAGGGGTTAAGTATTTTAATAATTTAAACAAAGTTACTTATGATGACTTTATCTAGACACTATAATAACCTATAAGTAATTTAAATTCTAGAAGTTAAAAAAATTATGAAGAAGGTTTCAATTTATTCTTAATTTGAAGCTAAATCACTCTATTGGACAGGAAAATATAAAGACTGTATTTAAAAATGCGATTCTTATTAGAGGTTTAATATTAGTGATGTTAGATTTAGTTTATTAATAGGTAATAAATATTTATTAAAAAATAGGTGATAGTTATTTAGAACTTAAAGAATTTGAAAACGCTATTGAGAATTACTAAACTGCTCTAGAAATAGATGAATAAAATGTTTATGCTTATGGAAAAATTGGTAGACATAATTAAATACTTTAGGGGATATTAAATAGAATTAAGGAAAATTAGAAGAAGCATTAAGCTTTTATGAAGAATGCACTAAAATAAATAGTGAATTATTAGAATTCTAGTTTAAAAAAGGTATTTTATTAAGTGATTTAGCTAAAATCTATCAAAATTTAAAATAATTTTAACAATGCCTTGAGTGTTTAAATAAAATATTATCTATAAATTCTTCTCATATTGAAGCACTTTAGATGAAAGGTACATAATTAAATTAAATTCAGCAACTATTTTATCATCAAAAAATGATAAAAAAGAGGAATTTGATGAATTCAAATAAAGTTTGAAGTTTAGTGGAGAAAATATTAAGAGATATATTTAATAATAGAGTATGAATTAGTTTGATTTAAGTAAATTTAAGAAGTCAATTTGAAAATCCATCAGTTTTAGGATAAATGTTAGATGAAGATGTAGTAAATTAAAAATTTTCTGAAGGTACAAATAAGATAAATGTCTTAGCTTATGCAAATTTAGAAAAAAATCCAACTAAAACACTATAGATATGTGAAGGAATTCTAAAATTAGATAAAAGTAATTTTTAGTTTGTAATTTTAAGTGGTATAAATAAATATTATTTAGCATATGCTTTGAAGTAGCTTCGAAGATATGAAGAAGCTTTAAATCTTTGTGATATGATAAAGAAATTAGATCCACTAAATTTAGAGGTGGGGAAATTATAGTATATGATATATTAGCTAATTTAATGAATTTTAAAATACATTGGTGTTTTATTAATTATTTTATAATTTTATAATAATAAGTAAATTGAAGGGAGGTTTATATAAGAAACTAGGAGTAAATAGATAATATGGATAAGAATAGATAGTATATTGAGGAGAGAGTAGAAAAACTATATGAAATAATATTAAGAGCAGATAAATTTGAAAAATGAATATAAAAGAGTGTATTGTTTTAAAATAGGATATTAAAATATAAATCTTTTTATTAATCAAATGAGCGGATTAGAAGATATTCCTGAATTTTACGATGATCCATAACAACTTACAAAATAGGACATATAGTAAGAGCAAATATTGAGAATCGTAGAAAATATGACAATTATAATGTTTCATAATTCAAAAACTTTGGGCTTAAAGAGGAGCTCTTAAGAGCAGTGAAAGAAGCTGGATTTGAGCATCCTACTAGAGGTAATAATATGTTTAATATTTATAGTCCAAGCAGAATCGTTGACAAATGCTTTATAAGGAGAACAATTGATATGCCAAGCAAAAGCAGGAACAGGAAAGACAGCTGTATTTGTATTGACTGTTTTGAATACGATAAATACTGAAAGCAATAAAGTAGAATGTCTAGTAATTACTCATACAAGAGAGTTAGCTTAATAAGTATAATAATATATAAAAAATTAAAGGCTCGTGATGAATTTTTAAGATTGGGAAAATTTATGAAGAGTATTAAAGTAGAATGTTTTTATGGAGGAGGAGAACCAGTTACTGTTAATATTTCAACAATTGATACAGTTAAACCATAAATTGTAGTTGGGTATTCTTCAAAATTCTAATTTTTTAGTACACCTGGAAGACTTAAGGATTTGATTTGTGAAAAGAAAGCTTTGAAAGTAGATAGACTAAAGTACTTTATTTTGGATGAAGCTGATACAATGATTGAAGATTTGAACATGAGGTATGGATTTTTAGAAATAATTATTTTAGAAAAGACATATAAGATATATTTTTACGTACACCACAAGAGAAATAATTTATGGCATTTAGTGCAACATTTACTGATTCAAGTAGAACATCACTCAAAAAATTCATTGCTGATAATAAACATGTAAATTATTATTTATAAATTTTAAAGATTTATGAAATTACAATAAAACCAGAATAACTCTTTTTAGATAAATTAAAGCAATATTATTTGAAGGTTCCTGAATCTCTTAAATTTCATTATTTAAGATAAATTTTAAATACATGCAAATTAAATTAATGCATTATTTTTGTAAAGAGTTCAGAAAAAGCAGATGCATTAGTCGCAGAACTTAAAAAAAAAGGAGAAGATTCAGTTAGATAATTATATGGTGGAAATAGATTGGGACCTGATCATTAAAAAATGAGATAAAAAACATATGAATAATTCAGAAATGGACACTTTAGATTATTAGTTGCTACAAATCTTATGGGAAGAGGTGTAGATATTGATAAAGTTAATTATGTTATCAATTTTGATATGCCTGATTCTTTAGAAACTTATTTACATAGAGTATGTTTATAATTTATATCGTTAGGTAGGAAGAGCTGGGAGATAAGAAACTAATGGGGTTGCAATCTCATTTGTTAAAAATGAAGAAGAAGCATCTGATTCTAAAAAACATACTGATGATGAAGTAATTCATTTCCTTTATTATTTTTTAAGGTTTTATAATTAATCCTCAAATAATATCCAGATAAATTATAACAATTACCTTAAGATTTATCCACATTAGACAAGTTCTGAAAATGATAGTATTACATAAAATAAAAAAATAAATAAATATATTATTATGCAAAAACCTATTTAAAGTAAGATTGTCACTTTAGGAGATTATGCTGTTGGCAAAAGTAGTTTAATCTAAAGATTCACTAAAAATGATTTTACTGAAACAAGAACCTAAACTTTAGGTGCTGAATTTTCTCCTAAATAAATTATAAGAGATGGTAGATTAATAGAATTATAGATTTGGGACACTGCAGGCTAAGAAGTTTATAGAAGCATTGCTAAACTATATTATATGGGTATTACTTAATAGCTATTTATATAAGATGCAAGTTTTGCTATCATAGTTTATGATGTAACAAAACCAAAATCTTTTGAAGTACTTAAGTTTTGGTTAGAAAAATTAAATGAAGAAGGAGTGGCTGATATAAGTAATCCTAATTTTGATTTTAACTTTAGCCAAATTCATTATTGCAAATAAAATTGATTTAGAATCTAAAGTCCCTTTAGAAGATGTCAAATAATATGCTAATTCATTTGATCCTAAAATTTAAGTTTTTGAAACTAGTTGTAAACAAAATATTGGTGTTTTTGTATCAATTGTAAATATTCTAGGAATTATTCAATCATATTGGAGATTTAGTTAACGAAAAAGAAAAATTACAATAATAAAAAATTAAAGAACAAAGGCCAGCAATTAAAATTGGAGCCTCTGATAATAAAAATGATGCTGAAAACTCGTGTTGTTGATATTATTATTTCTTTTAATTGTTTAAATACAATTTGGGGGTTTAAAATAAAATAAAATTCTAATATTAAATAAATATATATTAGAATTATAATAGTATATAAAATATGATTTAATAGATTATCAATAAGATAACTTAGTTTTTATAAATATGTTTATGGATTTCCTTTTTTAGTATTTCTGTAAATCTGATAAAATGAATAATTTTAAAAGATATTAGAATTAAATAAATAATAAGAGAGATTTTATGGATGGATATTAATAAGTTCTTTAAATGAAAATTATATATCAATTTCATTCAAGATTCTTATCACCAGCAGCAATTCTTAAAGCAATATATTCTTTAAGATCTCTCATGTTGGTATTTAATACACCAATCAAATCACTAACTGTTTATCTATCACCATCTCTTGCAGATCTTCTTTATTAGTAATCATAAGCAGCTTCTTAGCATTCTCCTCTTCTGTCATCTCTTTATTAAGTCTTAGCTTAAATTCTTTAAAGAACATCATTTTAACTTGAGGTAGTAGCATCAATTCTGTCTTAGAGCGATTATATTTCAGCTGTTAAATTAGCTATTGATGAATTGTATTTGTTCATATCTTTGTTTAATAAACTCATATATGCTTAGAATGCTCTAGTTCTGTCATCTTCAGCTTTTCTGGCTAAATCAAAAGCTTAACTTAATTAATTTTAAAGATCATCTATTAATTTAATAACTCTGCCTGTTAATTCTTAATTAGCAAATTATTGAGTTCTGTTTGCAAGATTAGCTAATAATTTTATGGCTTTTCCAAATGTTCTAACATGTTTCATTGTACTGGCTTTATGTGCACCTTAACTCATATGACTAGCGACTTAAGCCATTATTTATGGTGTTACATGAACCTTTTCTTCACCTTTTTATAAGAAAGATGGAGCTTATAAATTATCTGTGAAGAGTCTTCTTGCTTCAGCCAATACTGATGAAACAAATGTATATTCTTATCTTTAAGCTTCAAAATCATCAGCTTATTCTTATCTCTTAGCTGTTGTTTCATCTATAACTTTTTATAATTCAGCCTTTTAGAGTTCCTTTGCTTTCTTTTATCCAATCTTTTAATCTCTAATTGGAACAAGATCATCAAGAACAGCTTATAATTCTGTATTTCTTTATTCAAGATTGGCAAGTTCTTAGTTTAAGGCAGCCAAATCAGCATCACATACTTATTAGAAAGCTTGATTATTTGCATCATCTTCTTTTTAATCAGCAATATAT